AAGAACGAACAAAAAAGTCATAAATCTGGCCGAAACATTCAAAAAATTTTTTGATAAAAAACATAAGTCTAATTAATAGTTTTTGAAAAAAAGTGGATTTAATCAAAGAAATATTTTTAAAATGCCTTTTAAAAAGATAATGATAATAAGTTCAAAATTTTTTTAATGATGCTGCTGAAGAGGTCAAACTTAATTACATCGTGATATATATTGTGATCTGTTATAGTAAAAACATCAAAAGGAAGCATAACATAAATCAAATTTTGTATAAATATTAAATATTTTTATATATAATAACAAAAAACCTTTAAATCTTCAAATTTTCTCAATTTTTTTTATAATAATTTGAAGATTCTTAAACGTCGTGTTGTTTAAACAATTTTTTACTTCGCTTTTACCCAAAAATATCCCTCCTCCCTTCTATTATAAAGCTGACTTTTAAACTCAGTCCTAGCTGTAGCCCTAATATGACTATTTCTGCCATTTCATTGTTGACTTGGTAACAACACTAATCATTCTAAATAAACAATGCATATTCTGAAGCCAAAATCCAAAAAAAAATTTTTTTTTGAAAATTTTTGTCTAGTAAAATATGCCAAAAAGCAAAAGTACACAAACCACAACAAAACAGTGTTTTTACTAAACAATCTTTAAAAAGTTGTTAATCAAATTATACTTTTAGGTACACAAACCAACATATAATCAAATTAAGCACTAACCTATGTAACCATTTACTCAATTTTAGCAAATAAAACCACCCCTCCCCCTTCTTGTCCTACCCCCTCTTTGTCTGACTGAGCCATCCAAATTTGATAAATTGACCTTTTCTAACTCTCCCAACCAACCCAACCCCCTTATTTTTTCTTAATGAGACAAAAGGTCTTTTAAAAAAAAATTAGTTACAACTGTCTAAAAAATTTTTTAAAATATTTTAGACAGTATTTTAACATAAAAACATGTACCGCCCTTCTTTAATATGTGTCGCTGATGTGAGTGTTGTTACTACGCAAAATCTCTGTTGGAAACTTGTGAATTCAGAGGAAAAGAAGCGTGAAGTTTCCGCAAACGTCATCAAATTGTAAACGGAAATAAGACAGTAAAAGGTGTGTAAAAATAGAAAAAAAAACATATTTTATACTTGAAAAGATAAGTTTTAAATTTTTTTTAAGAAAAAAAAGAAGTTTTAAGCTTTGCCTTGCCTATGCTTGCCTTTGCCCTGCCTTTGATCTGCCTTTGATCTGCCTTTGCCCTGCCTTTGCCCTGCCTTTGCCCTGCCTATGCTTGCCTTTGCCCTGCCTTTGATCTGCCTTTGATCTGCCTTTGCCCTGCCTTTGATCTGCCTTTGATCTGCCTTTGCCCTGCCTTTGCCCTGCCTTTGCCCTGCCTATGCTTGCCTTTGCCCTGCCTTTGCCCTGCCTATGCTTGCCTTTGCCCTGCCTTTGATCTGCCTTTGATCTGCCTTTGCCCTGCCTTTGCCCTGCATTTGCCCTGCCTTTGTCTTGCCTTGCTTTGCTATACCCTGCCCTATATTGCCATACCCTAGCCTGCTCGGTCCGGTTTTTGCCACTTCTTGCTTTGCCCTACCCTATAAGTGGGTTTGTACCTACAACCCTGAACCTTAATTTTTCCAAAGATCAGTACCAATTAGTGACAGCCAAAAAATCAAGAATTTACACGGTAAACCAATTACCAATTTAGGAAATGCAACTGTAAAACTTTTTTTTAGCAATTAGGGTTTACTAATTTCACCTTACAATTACAGTCCAGCACAATAAAAGGTCAACGGTTTGATCAAAATAAATTTTAAAATTTGTTAGACTCAAAAAAAACTTTCATTTTAAGATAAACCAATAACTTTCATGACTGTTTAGGTAAGATACAATAAAGTTTGGTAATGAAAGCTATTTGGTTTCATAAACCGTTCAAACCCATATTACACTTGATTAAAGATTAATAGGGGTTTGTTTTTATAATAGTAAAAAGTAAAAGTAAACGGTTTAGTAAAAAAGCAATAAAATAGAGTTTACAAGATAAATTGTCATTTTTTTGTAAACCAGAAGTGTTCTTTGTTTTGAATTTACTTAAAACTATGAATTTTGATTTTTAGAAAAAATATCATATTTCATATAAAACAACTTTTTAAAATTAAAAATTATAGACAATGCATCATTTTTAAAATACGTTATTTCAATTAGAAAAGTTTAAGAAAACAGAAAACATCAATTTCATTCAATTTTTCAACTAATTTGAACAAAATGTCAAATTTGCAGACAATTTGTCATTCTTTTTTTTTATAAAAATGCCTCATACTAATTATAAAAATTTTAAATACAAAAAATTTCTAAAATTAATTTTACGTTTTTTAAATTAAATTTAGCCAATTTTATCAATTTCAGAAAATATGTCATCTTTCCAAAAAATATGTCATTCTTCACAAAAATATGTCATCAAGACATACTGTATTTCCTAGAACAACTTTAAATGAAAATACTATAATAGGTATAGAAAATTGTAAATTGATATTAAAGTTTTGTACCTAAAAGCCTTCTTTTCCTTTCAGCACTTATCCTCTCCTCCCCAGTAGACCGTAAAAAGACCAGACCAGGTCCAATTTTTGAGCCCGGCGCTCGGGCCAACATGATTCGGCACAGTTTGGCTTTTCAAGCTTTTTTTGGCCCGATCTGGCATCGTTCTGCTTAGTAAGCTTTTTTTAGGTCTATCCGTAACAGTTTAACCCTTGACCGATCCTTATTGTACCTTTCTGACTGGCCCTGATTGTACCCGTTAGTAACCATCAAAAGCCTATTTCGAAAAGTTTTAACTAAAAGTTGTGCAAAACCCTAAAACCTATTTTTGCTTTGTTTCTGATTTGAATAAACAAAAACAAGCCTATTAACGTTCCAAGAAAAAAAAGTATTAACGTTCCAAGAAGGAAGACCTTGAACTGTTCCAAAACAAATCTCATCTGACTTAAGGTCGGTCCAATGAGATAATCATCAAAGACATTCTTTTGTTTGTAAAATCACAAAAACACACAATTCTTGCAAATTAACGGTCACATGTTAGTAGTTCCGGTCGAATGGCCAAAATGTCACAACAACATCGTGTTGTTACCGTATATTTGCTGTGGCTGAATGATGTTTTATGTTTTGGCGTTTTATAGGCCATAGATTAGACGTTATGACGGTTTTTGACCTTTTATTTAAAAAAGTAATGACAATATATATATCTTTTTTTAATTATTAGGTTGTTCAAATAATTCTGTACTTCCTTTTAAAGCAAATTTTGGAGGTTAAGGGGCACAGAATTATTTGAAAAACCTAAGATGGCAAAATAAAAAAAATTTTAATCCGTGATTTCAACAATCGTATTTTACAAAATAAAAAAAAAAATAAAAATCAAAGCAAATCGGATGTTTTTGTTTAGTAAACACCATCTTGTTGTAGTGTGAAGAATACAAAAGAACCCAATATTTATACAAAAGCTTGAACTTCGCTAATCAAAAATCAGTTTTTATTTCAAAACAGTGGTCAATAGCTATGGCAATAGTAAACAGTAGTACCAGTTCTAAGCAAAGTTATTTTTAACTTGGGAGTAGACCTTTAAAGAGTGGGCCAACCCTAATTTTTTAGCCTACATACACGTGTCTCATTGTTTAAACCCTGCTTCTGCACGTCCTAGACCTGAAAAAAGACCAAAGCAAAGTTGAAAAAAGACTAGGCTAATACAAGTAGGCTTAATAACCGAGCAGAAAATAAAGCTCGGCCTTTGAATCAAGTCAAAAAATTTTAGCCCGATCCCTTTAAAAATTTAGTCCGGCTTGGCACCTTATATAGACGCAAAGCTTACGTTGCAGGACCTTTGTTTAACACCTGAGGCTTTCACTTACTAGACTCGGTCGTTGAGCATGGTTCAGCAAGGTCTCTTTTAAAGTTGCTTGGGACTTATCCGGACGTTTCATAGTCTAGTAGCTTCTCTTTCAGGTCTACTTAAGAGAATTAAGTAAAACAAAATTTTTGAAAAAAATTTTTTTTAATTCAGCAGGAATTCCCTTTTTAAACACATTTATTTATATCTTAAACCTCATTAAGCCTCGTATTTTACCTTTTTCTCAAACTCCCAAAATAGCTAAACCAACCTTAACACGTCGCAGTATCTTATCCAATAGTTTTCCGGAAAATTGTTCCGTTAAACGGTGGGTTTCACACTCTGAAACGTTCCCAAATGAAAGTCCGGTTCGAGGATCCTCTTCGGATTGCATAAATCAAGTGGAAATTGGCGGAACCATCGAAAGTGAAAACGGTGCAATTAAACTTTTGAAACCTCAACAATAATTTCAAAGATTTATTGGTTTCTTTGATAAGTTATTAGTTCTAATGGCATTTTTTACAGTGGAAATTGTGTATAACACTATATAAAGTAACACATCAAAAATCTTTTTTCAAACCTAAAATTTCAACTTAAAACTTAAATTTTAAAAGCTCATTCAGACACTTATAAGATTGGAATCAACGACTTTTTTCAGCTCTACTTTGCACTTTTATCTCCAACATCTCCACACCAAGAAGTCGTTTCAGGAAGTTACAATTACTACTCAAGCGAACGTTTTTAAACATTTTTAAATTTTTTCGCTATGGGTTTTTGAACTTGGAAATGTCGTATTAAGTTTTTCAAATAATTCTGTGCTTTTTGAACGCGGAAATTTTCTTTCATGGAGGCACAGAATTATTTGAACATCCTAATACTTAAAAGTAGACAACTAGAGAAATCGTATTTTACATAATAAACATCAAAGTTTAGCTTTTATTGGCGTAATAAAGTTTATAAAGCCACAGTAAATTTGATTTTTATTTTCAAAATGTCGATAATAATATCAAAAAACCAAGTGTAATATCACAAAATTGAGCACAAATCTAATAATAAGTTAAAGCGTTGTCAAAAAATCTAAATTTAGGCTTGATTAGGTACGATGTACAAGTAATAAAGAATAAAAACGTGTTCTAACGATATCTACGGCATTTCGGAAAGTTGGTTACAATTTGGCTGATTTCACTGTCAAGTCGCTTTACATCGTCCGCTTTCAACGTAAATTGCTTTGTTTCACCTGATTTTAAATGGAGAATCAGAAGGACTTCGTATTGTGGTGGTGAATTCGTTTTCGACGCTACCTAAAATTTTTTAGTTAAAAAAAAGTTGATTTATCTTGATCAATATGAACATGATTAATATAAACTCAAAAAAAATACAAAAAACATGTCAACTAGTGCCTAGTTTAGTAATAGTATTCAAAAATAGAAACTCTAAGCTGTATTTTACAAGCTCCCCAAACTTAGTCTTTCAAAATTCGCGCGCAATTCGCAAAATTCGCGAAATCTTGGCGTTCCGCTCCATTTTTTCATTATTTTCTCCGAAATTTTTCGTTTTTCGCCATTTTTAACTAACTTTTTCGTAACAAGAACAAACTCACGTTGATGTCGAATCGTAGCTCCATATTTTCATAACTGGCTTCTGGCAATATTGTTTCTAACGACATCTGTAAATAGCCAAACTATTTATTTGTGAGAAAATACGCGGAATATCTGTTCAGAACAATAAACGACGTCAATACTTTGGACAGAAGTAAAAGTTAGGACTGAAGTTTTTCCAAAACTTGCTCAAGAGATTGGTCTTGGTGTAACAATAGTTTTCTTATCGAAATTTGTACAAAAAGAACTGTCTACACCAACTTTTCGTCAAGTATAATATAAGAATAGATGGGAGACGATTTGAAGAGTGAAATCACTGAAAGACTGGACAAATTTGTACAAAATGGAGAAATCGACAAACAGAAGTTAACAAAGAATGTCAGGGATCGATTAGTAGATTGCCTATTGGATGGGACGGTTTATGGCGTGGTATCTTCCCTAGAGCATCTACAAGAACTTAAAGAAACGTAAGATTTGAGAGTTTTTTGCTTTGATGTTTAGGTATTAAGCTCTGGGAGTCTTTTTGATGGTACCTTGAGCAAATTTTGTTTGAGAAGAGGACCTTTTTGAGGTATTTTAAGATAGAAAGCAGCTTGATGTCTATAGACCACATTATTCATCAAAATACTGTTCTAGAGGTTGCCGTTAAATTTAAAAAATGAAACCAATAGCTTTTCTTAATGTGTTAAATTGGTTTGGAGTAAAATACGCTGTCTTGCATAGTGTCATATAATGTTTAGCTAAAGTTCATTATAACTTATATCTATAATATTGTTTTAGAGAGCTACTTAACCAAAGGTACCGAAAAGTCAGAGAACTCGCAGATCAAAATGACACAGAATCAGTGAAGAGGATTGACAGAGAAATTATGGTACAAATTGATGAGGTAAAGCGGGCTAATATGGATTTATCTCATTAGTAAATGTACATAAAAACCCTCTTTCCAAGCTCCCTGTCTCTATCCCTAACTAAGCCATCAAATAATCGTTAAAAAATTTTAGCTAGTCCAAGACCAACAATCTAACCTTTGTTGTATGGGGATCCCGTTGTTCCGGGCGACGTTGGAGCCGAGTGAAGTGAAAACACAAATGGACATAATAAAGTTTATTGTTTCGATAAAAGATCTATTCGAGAAATAATTGTGGCCGAACAACCAAATGGTAATGTCTATATATATCTGTTCATATCACAAATTTATTATAAAGATTGACCATTCAGAGAAAGAGGTCTTTAATCAGTTGTAATGGACATTGGGCAATGTCAAGTAAATGAACAGTTTTGAAAAGAGAAACGATAGAGAAAAAGTATTCCGATGCCAAGCTTAACAATATAACATACTTGGGCATGGGTGGCTAATATTTGGGATAGGGGGATAGCTAAGGAGGTTTTAGCAATACAACAAGTTTAGAGAAAATGTATGCCAAGTAAGATGCAGGTCATTATAGCTTTGCTTTAGGTTATTATAACCTTGATTTAGCATATAACAAACTTGACAATAGTTGCCTTTACATTATGAATAGAGCTAACTTAACTGTAAAGGAACTGAACCAGTAAAAGCGGGTGAGATACCCAAAAATAAACAAAATGAAAGCAAATATCAAGTGTGTGAAGGATAGACACAGTGAAATGTGGGCCAAACAATACATTCTAAGAGCAAGTTCAGGATTAAAACTATTAAAATCAATGGAAGGGTTGTTAAAGTGATCAAGTTTTAGGATTTTGTAGTACTACCTAGTGTAATACTTTTTATTTGGTCATTAAAAGTAAGTCAATTTGAATACTGGACGTAATATATAGCATACGTTGAACTACTGTACCATTTAGTTAACAAAAATTGAATTCCAGCACATAAAACTGTCACTTTACTCAACAAGACAAGGTAAATTAACAGAATTTGATAACAGTCATCCAGACACAGCAGGTCGTACGATGACTACGTCATCACAGACAATCGTGGTGTTAATACAACGAATTTGACCATGGTATTAATAATAACAAAAAATGATTAAATAATATGGTACAAGTACAGAGTATTAAGACCATAGTATGATTATAAAAAACAAAAATCATTGTACGATGACATTCTCTTCCTTATACGATGATATTGTCTTTCACGTACGATGATTCTCCATGTTCATTTACATTCAATCATGTGATGATCTTGGGCGACCAGGTATGTTTGATCTGGATGGCCATCTTTTTGTGTGGTGGAGCCCCGTTTGCATACCGAATGTAAGGCAAGCCGTTCATCGTGGGCTTCATGGTAGTGAAGGCCTTATTGGCATAGAACAAAATATACGGGTATTGGGTAGGGACTTGGTTCACTCTGGTTTGCTCGACCTAAAACAATATAAATCAATATTAAAAAATGAATAATCAAGAAATACTAAAAAAAAGATAAATTAAACCCCACCAGTGGCAGGCGTTTGCTTATTATTACCTAAAATCCAACCAAAAACAAGCCCTTACCTGTTCGTCGTCAAACGAGTACCAATTTCCATCGAAGCCCTTCATCGTTGCTGTGTAATGTCCACTGTTCGTGGTGGCTCCATAATGGTTGATGAAGCCGTACAACCGGTAGGACAAGTTGGTCTTCGTTCTAGTATGACCCGTCAAGTCCAATTCGTGTGGAACTGAAATGGGCATCTGAATCTTGGATCCAGTGTGCTTGAAGCGTTTCAACTGAATCACCAACACTCTTGGGGCATCTTGGATTGAGAAGGTCTTCGTCGATGTATCGACGGCTTTACATCTGAAAAATGCAGTTGTTAATAGATAAATACGACAGAATAGTTATCAATATAGCTGAAATGGCCAAAAATACCAGGAAAAACAATAATTATGACCAAAATGACGTAAAAAATAATATCGTACCACTAAAATCTACATTAATATAACGTTCTCTTGATAAAAAACAATTGCCAAACTTACTTTTCACACTTGAAGTCCCTCATTCTCTCTGGATTGAAATAGGCGTCAACAAAATATTGTAGCTTAGCGTTATCATTTTGGAACAGATTGGCACAGTTCAAATTCAAGTTGAACTCTCGGAACTCTTCCGTACTCCAACTACTGTGTTTACAGTTTGAACAGCTCACTGAAATTGGCAAACGTATAATAAACATGACATTACACATATTATAATAAGTTTATTGCATTAATTATACTGCTTTTATCGCGCTAATGGGCAAAAACCCTTGATAAGAATCAAAAGCACTGTTTCATACCTAAAATCACAACATCAACATAAAATACTTACTTCTCCTGCTCAAAATACCTCCAAATATCTTGTCGATTTCAGTTGGTGGCTTCTTGCCGTTAGGTAAGCTTCTTCTGGTTTCTATTGGAGGTTCCAACTTTGAAAACAAGAAAGTCAACATCTCATGAGCATCTTCTTGAGCATCCAGCCATTTCAATGTGGGGAAGCCATCTCGTACGACTTCCTTGACTGTTTTACAAAACATTTTCTTCACTTTCCTATTGATAATGTCATTCAGAACACCTTGCAAAGAGCAGAACATGCACGGGTTTTGATGAAAATCTGAAAAATTAAGGTTTTAGGTACAACAAAGATTAAAAAGCAAAAATAAGGTATAAAAAGAATAAAAACCCGTTGAGCTTTCTTTAAATTATAAACTCTTATTCGATAACTCAACAAAACGTCAGTTAAGAATGTTACCCAAAATCTCAATATAGAAAACAACACTTACGTTGTTTGGTTCTCAAGAATAGTTTCACTAACTGTGGTGTGTGAAACACAAACTGCAACACCGAGTTCATAAAGCAATCGTTTCTGGAGTTGAAGAAGCCTGGCCCGTGTTTAGTCTAAAACAATAATCAATTAAACCTTCAAAATAAATCAAAATTTTTTGAATGCAAAGTTTATCACAATCAAAAGCTAAATTACTACTCCTATCACCATGCTTTACATATTTTGTTACCTAAACTTATAATAGAATTCAAGAAAAACCTTCACAATCCAACTGACAAACAACTCACCCTCAGTGGAACATCAGCCCAATCGTATGAATAAGGTCCTTCGTCCTCCATCGATCGCTTTACAGTCAACTTCTTTACTGAACTTGGCCCAGGCGTGGAATCACCGTTCTTCAAATTCGGAGGCATCCTAGGACCAATAAAGCCGGGAGACTCTGTTCGCTTGACTGGACTGCCGTTTTCGCTTTTCGTTGGAGTCAAATCAGCTTTAGATGTTGTCGGTTTGTCAGCATCACCTCCATTACTGATATGTTTGGGTGGAAGTTGTGGACCAATAAGTCTTGGAGGCGTCTCTTTCAATTTTGGAGATGGTTCCTTCAACTTTGGAGATGGCTCCTTCAACTTCGGCGACGGTTCCTTTAATTTTGGAGATTGTTCCTTCAACTTTGGTGAAGGTTCCTTTAGCTTCGGCGATAGCTCCTTCTTCTTATCCACACCATTTTCAACCTTCTTTTGAATAGTTGGTTCTGGCCTTTTCACCGGACTTCCATTCTGACTCTTGTTAGAACTAACTCCATTCTTCAGCGTTCCTGTCATCAAATCAGCCTTCTTGATGGGCGTGACTGGTCCATAGACTTCTGACTGTTTGGCAATGCCATTGGACGACGACCCATTCAAATGAATCTTGATCTGAGGCGCCTTCCGGCATTCCTTCTCCCACCCGTTCTTTTGAAACCTAAAATAATATAATTCAAATTTTTATATTTACTTTCGATCTATTAATAGATGCTTTAAATAATAATAGACAAAGCAATTTAATACCTAACTTTTAAAGTTAGACCAATAAACCTATCCTAAAAATATTATTTTATACCTAAAATTAGAATGCCTACTTTAAATAAACTAAAACAAAATACTTAAACCTAAATTTAAGTTGATCCTCAATAACGTTTTTTATGTTTTAAATTATAAATTTTTAAAACAGTTTCTTTTAAAATACGTTTTGCTAATTGTTACCTAAAACGTTGCGTTTTGTTCGTAAAACATCGTTTTTCACTTATAGACCTTGGTTACGCTCGAATCAAATAAAAAACGGCTCAGACACTTGTTAAAATAAAAAAGTCTGCGACGTGAGCATCTGCTCTTTCTTTAAAATTAACGAAAATAAAAAGAATATTATCATGTGAGACAGAAAATCGTATAGTTTAGATCACACTTTAATCGATCTAACATAATATTGTAAAATCCAAAAGTAGAGCTATTTTATGAAGATTAAAAAACGAGCCTTGCCTAAACATGAAAATACAAATGAAGAAGCAAATACTTACCCTTCCAAAGCTTTTTGCACCTTCTTCGGTGAGCACTTGGTCAACTCATCTGTGATGGAATCTGGACTAGTGCTAGAACCCGCGCTAATGGCCGATGTCGTACTCACGGAGCTATTCGGCCGAAACGTTTCCTCTTCTCCAGTCAAACTCTTGCAACCCGACGGCAACGAATTCGACTTCAAGCTTTTACACTTGACAAACTCCACCGGTAACCATGTTGTTGTCCTCTTGATCGGCCGTATCGTGCTTGTGCCTAGAATGTCGGCCGACGACAAGCGTGCCATCAGAAGTTTATTAAAAACTCTGCAAAAAACAACAATAATAATATAAAAAAGATTTTAGCGCGCCGGACTCTTTTTACGAAGCGCACCGATGGTTAGTCTTCGTGGCGGGACGCAAATAAACCCGAAATGAGGGGAAAAAAATGTTTTTAAAGCCGGTAGCGAGCTGCGGCCGATATGAGAATAGAAATGTTATATGAAAAATTTGTAAAAATATAAAAATCAAACAAACGAGCGAATACAAGACAAAAACTGCTTAAATATTGAAAAAAATCTTAATTATAAAAATATTTACCGACTGAACGAGACAAGCCGATGAATATGAAGCTGGTGGATAATCTGGGTATGATCCTTCTTTTATTGCTAATTTCAGCACAAATTAATGGCACAAGTTTGTCTACCTGTTTGTACCTAAACGCGCGACGGTTCACTCCATACTCGATAAAACTCAATGTAGATTGAAGGAAAAGACATAGCTTTAACAATTTATGTGCGGAATATTTTTAAAAAATATCAACCTTTAAGTAATGCGTTAAATTAAGGTCCAAGATGTCTATAATATACTATTAAAAATAAAGTTCAAAAGTTGTTTATGTCACAGTTATCGCATCACGTCAATGAAAACACTAATGCATATTTATTCAAAACTTTAAAAAAATGTTACCTAAAATCTCAAAGTTGTCAAGAAATTCAAGAGAATTTTGCCTAAAATTCCAAATATTTTACCTTTAATGGATATTGGCCCATGTTGGCTAGCCCAGTCATACAAATATTGTCATTCGTCTTCCAAGGAACGTTTGACATTAAACATTTCACTGGAAGAATGTTGTTGTTGTTTGAATATGCCGAGTCAGACCGAGAATGTCGATTGATGATATCTTATGTTATACTTAATAACGTTAGACTTCATGAAAATTTTTTTAAATTTTAAAACACCGAAAAAAGCTAAAAAGCTGTAAAATTTAAAAAAAGTTGAATGAAATCAAAAACTGCATTTTATTTTACACTTTTTACTATGAGGTGTGGTTGGCTGTTGCTTTTGTTTTTTAACTTCAGGTCTTCCTGTTCTGAATCAAACGAATCGTTCTTTGGGCTTCGAGCTGAGCATGAGTAAGTTCATCTGATTTGTACTTTACATTAGAGTAAAGTATCCCTCTGGGGAGCTGAGGGAAGGAGAGGAGAAAGCTGGAGGGTGTTTCAATAATCTTGCTCGAAGGGTCAGATTTACTATGTAAATTTTCAGGGATTACTTCAAGAACGACTTCATACTATATAAAGAAGATGCTGAATCTAAATTTATGTTTTTTGCTGAAAATGCGGATCAAGTGACTAATCTGAGTTTCGTCACATTATCTGAGTACTGTGATGCAAATAGTACTAACAAAATTGAAGCAAACTTCATCAGCCGGAATACTACTAGGTTCGTCGCTTCTGCTGTAAGTTGTTTTATTGATAATCTGTGAGTTATGTTGTTGATAAGCTGTAAGTTATAGTATTGATAAGCAGTATTTTATTGATAATGATGACATTGAGCTTTTAGTATTGATCATATTTCATTACCATCATGTATATAATAAAATGGCATTTTCAGAAACTGAGACCATTTGAAGTACCGTACAAAGCATGCCTGACATTTTTGTTGGATGAACAACCGTTGTAAGCTTTAAAAGTTTTTTTTTGAAAAAAGTTTTTGAAACTTTCAGTGTAATATCAGCAGATGAGTTCCGTGTGTACCAATACAACTACTCCCAACTATACATGAACTACTACTTACAATTCACATTAATCGGCTGTTTATTGTTACTTAGTGGCTATTTCTCGGGCATCAACATATCAATCTTCTCTTTGAGTATATATCATCTCAGGGTAGGTTAATGATCCAATGATTTTATTTTTTGCTATAAAGTTATACTTTAAAAAGTTTTGTCGTTTTTTACTGTGTATACTAGTGTATTTTGACGACATGACTTTAGCCGTCTTAATATACCAGTAAAACATGACATCAAATGCACTATTTTAGTTACTAAGCTCCTGCAGTGAGCCAAAGATGGCAGCATACGCCAAGAACATATTGCCCTTGAGGAAGCAAGCTAATTTACTGTTATCAACCTTAGTATTGGGCAACGTGGCAGTGAATAACGTCTTAACTCTGCTGATTGACAACACAATCGAATATTATGTAGATGCTGATAGCAAATACATTTTCAGCATACCTGTTACTCTCTGCTTGATCATGACTTTTGGTAGGAATTTGGTTTTTTTTTGATTTTGAAGTTTGAAATTACTTTTTTTTAAATTTTGGAAATTTCGAAAATTTTAAAATTAACAACTTTTTTTTTGTAAAATACGTCACATTCATTCCTTGTTAAATCGAATTTTTATAGGCGAAATAATCCCCCAGGCAATTGGCATAAAGTACTGTTTACAAGTGGTCAGTGGTACCAGACATATAACAATCTTCTTCTTCGTCCTCTTCTTCCCAGTAGCCTGGCCCATTTCGAAGGTTTTGGACTTGTTGGTAGGAGAAACTGGTCGAAATATATACAATTGCGAGGAGCTGAAGACACTCGTTCAGTATCATCATGATCGACAGCAAGGTATTACCTAGTCACTTGAGTCTTAAATTTGAGCATTTAAAACATAAGTTTTGTTTCATGTTTTTATGTTTCTAAAAGGATTTTAAGGAAACAGGTTAAAAAGTACAATTTTCAGACCAATCAGTAAGCATGAAGCTCCTCGAACTCGTGGTAGGAGCTTACAAGTTGCCAGAAAACAAAATCAAAGACGTCATGACACCTATGGACAAGGTGTACATGTTGGATGAAAACACATTGATGACTGACGCGGTTTGTCGAGAAATACATCAACGAGGCCACACAAGAGTACCACTTTACTCTGGCAGCAGGAATATGGTACTTTTTATAAATTTAAAATGAAAATTTTTTTTGTGAAATTTTAAATTTTTTGAAAAAATTATAGAAAATGGTCAAAAAGTTTATGCACAAATTTTTTTTGCAACCAAAATGTCATAAAGCGTTTTAAACTTTATTTTTGACATTTATGAAAATTTAAAAAAAAAATTTAATTTTTAGATAACATCCATCCTGAACGTCAAAGACCTGGCGGCATTCCTACCCAACTGCAAGATTCGTCTAGGTTTTTTCGCTAAAATGTTCCACAGAAACCTCCAAATTCGATTCGTTTTGGACGAAATGAATCTGATGAAGCTGCTACGCCTGATGAAGCGAGGCCACCCAATGGTATTCGTACTACAATTCAACAGCGACCTCAAAGACTACGAAATTGCGGGCTTGATTACGGTGGAAGATATCATAGAAGAAGTTATCGGCGAAATCAACGACGAGAAGGATGCCAGAAGAAAGTCACAACAACATAAAGTCAAAATTGACAAAACCAGCAGCACAACCAATGTTAAGGTCCCGGTTGCTAAGCCTTCGGCTGTTTTTGATAAGGATTTCAAAGAATAAACTTTTTTGATATAAATTCGTATTTCTGAACTTTGTCGCATTCGAATGCATTCTTCAAGCTAGCAAACTAACTCCAACAGTTTCTTGTCCGGACACCTTTCATCATATAACAAACCTGGGGAGCAGCTTGCGAATAAAACGTTTTATATTTTTTCACTAATTCCTCAATTTATGGGGAAAATCAAGGGAAATGGAGGATAGTTTGCCTATTTTGAACGAAATCCTAGCTAGCCAGAGCTACATTTATGGGTTAGTTTACAAATAACATAGCTCATTATGTTTATATTGTTTCAGTTTCACTCCAACTTCACTTGACAGAATCGCCTTTTCGCGGTTGAAAACTGTGCCCCAGACTTTGGTGCATTTGAATAGGTGGCATCGGCATTTAAAGAGTTTTAGCTCGACTGAATTGGACAGGTTTGCGCCTGGTTAATTAGTTATTTTTAAAATTTTAGGTTTGAAAACGTAAAACCGTCGAACGGCTTGGGACGGCTGGGCTTTCTGAAGGAGAATGATGCAATTCGGTAGGGGATGGGCGTGTTGTGCGTGAATGTGTTGTTCTTACTAAATTTTCAGTTGTAACCTGTGTCGATTGACAAAAAATGAGGAAAACGTATTGTTTTAGGTCAAACGAGGTGAAATCTGAGCAAAAGCCATTGAAAATGACTGTTTCTGACGGCCAAACTGCCGCGGAAAACTTGCCAGAGGTTTTGCTGAGCGTGCTGGATAAAGCTGGAGAGTTTGACACTTCAAAGTTGGCGGAAGAATTAAAATTGGATCATAATAAGGTTATTGGAGCTGTCAAATCGTTGTTATCGCATGAAAACGTATGTTTTTTTACTTTATTTTTATACTTTTAGGTTAAATTTTGAAGTGCTATTGTAAACTACTGAGTTTTTCTCTTTTGTCTGAGAGATGTGCTAAAACGTTTATTATTTTTAATGTTAATGTTGTTTTAGCTGATTGACACGAAAGACCGTCAAATTAAGCAGTTTGCTTTGTCTGGAGAAGGCAAAGAGATTTCTGACCAAGGATCTCATGAATATCGAGTGTTCCAAGAGATTGGTGCTGATGGTGTGCCTCAAAAACAAATTGTGGTACGTTTAATATCTACAAATCATTTCAAACTATTAACTTTATAAAACAAAGTTTCATATTTTAATTTTATGTCTTTCAGTTATGTATAACTTACTAATTAAAATTTTTTAATTTCTATTGTTTAGGACCTGTCATTTGGCAAAATAGGAATGTCAAAAGCTTTGGCCAACAAATGGATAGCTTTGGATAAGAGTGCTAGTCCTCCAAAGCTTGTTAGGAAAGTGGAGCAAGTAAAAGACGAAGTTAGGGAGGCTTTATTGGCTTTGAAAAACAATGAAGATGTTGCTCAAGCCGTTTTGGATCAACTCAAAAAACGAAAATTGATCAGTGAAACGTAAGATTTTAAAATTTTTTTGTTGGATTTTAGGTATGAAAGATCATAGAGATGCAGTATTAGGTTTACATATGCAAATTATGATTTCGTATAAACTTAGAATATTGCAAAAACCGGCAAAAGTACAATATAAAAGTTACTATAATATAACCCAATCTTTCAGCACGATAAAAGCACTGATTGTAACGAAGGGAGACGCATTCACGGTGAACCTCGAGAAGCCAGAAGTCGATATCACGGCCGAGATGATTGCCACAGGCTCGTGGAAGGACAAGACTTTCAAAAAGTACAACTTTGAAGCCTTGGGAGTCCCACCACCAGCTGGACATCTTCATCCTTTACTTAAAGTAAGGTCAGAGTTCAGAGAGATCTTCTTCCAAATGGGATTCACTGAAATGGCAACGAACAAATATGTTGAAAGCTCTTTCTGGAACTTTGATGCTCTCTTCCAGCCTCAAATGCATCCGGCTAGAGATGCTCACGATACCTTCTTCTTGAAAGGTAGGGGAATATAATTTTTGGGGTTCAGAGGCAAAAGGAACGTTATAATTGATTTTTTTATTGTTAAGAATTGTAAAGAAAGTTATTGCTGTTTATTTAAGAAATTGACCTTAATAATAAGAGGATAAACTCTGACAAAACTTTATTTCCAGACCCGGCTGTGAGTACCGAGTTCCCTCAAGGCTACCTTGAACGAGTGAAGAAGGTTCATTCCGAAGGTGGCTACGGATCAGTAGGCTACAAATATGACTGGAAGATCGAAGAAGCTCAAAAGAACGTTCTGAGGACGCACACAACTGCCGTATCAGCTCGTCAACTATATCAGTTGGCTCAAAATGGCTTTAAACCATCGAAATACTTTAGCATTGATCGAGTCTTCAGAAACGAGACGTTGGATGCAACGCATTTGGCTGAATTCCACCAAGTTGAAGGTGTTGTAGCTGAAAGGAACTTGTCATTGGCTCATGTTATCGGATTGTTCACGGAGTTCTTCAGGAAGTGCGGTGGGTTTCAAGTTTTAATTTTTTGTTGTGATATGATGATTAGGTAGTAAAGCGTAATGTTTCGATAAAATGTTAGGTTATTTTGTTAAATCTTATGTTAAACTTGCGTTTTATGGCATAAAAGTTTTGTCTGACCCCCAAATTGATACCTAAAATACTATAGTCTAAGCACATATTTTTAGGTATTGAAAACCTCCGCTTCAAACACACCTACAACCCATACACTGAGCCATCGATGGAGATCTACGCTTATCACGATGGTCTCAAGAAATGGGTCGAAATTGGAAATTCAGGTCTGTTCCGACCAGAAATGCTGCTCCCCATGGGCCTTCCACCTGATGTCAATGTAGCCGGTTTTGGTTTGTCCCTAGAGAGACCCACTATGATCCGATATGGAATCTCCAACATCAGAGAGCTGTTCGGTCATAAAATCGATCTGAACATGGTCTACAAGAACCCAGTCTGCAGGTTGGAGAAGAAATAAGTGATAGAAGAAGGTCAGACATGTTGATAATAAGTTAAACTGATAAGTGTCTGGATGGAAAGTTGATTACCTTGGATTCAGAAGGATATTTATATGGTTTACCGGTTGAACAATATGTGTTGATCATGTTAAGCTTGTTTTTCTTTGTTAAATAATTTAAATTTTAAATAAATTTGTTTTGTCATGAAATTTACTCGAGATTTTGGTATATAATCGATTGGTTTTTAACCGTATTTTACCTTGTTTTACTGAATATTCTTTGATTATGCTCAATCGTCAGTCAAATTGAGTTTGTTTATTTATTTATAAAAGAATATCACGGAGTTTTAAATTAGAATATCTTGTTTTTTTCACTTTTTTCCGATCCCAGAGCCAGTCGGATCGTCCAGCCATGGATACACGTTGGGACAACTTCCACAAACCTTGAAGGAATGTGGAGTCGGTCCTCCTTGACGGGTGTTCATAAAGGTGCATACGGACGGATTCTGAAAAGGAATCATATTTTTGTAACAAAAGATATTGTTTTTGATGTCTAATAGGCTTAATTCTTCGCCTCCTGGCACAATATCATACTTAACTCTGTGCCCTCTGACCCAATGTTTAAAAAATTTGTTTGCGTAACAACAAAAAAGAGGGGGCGCAGAATTAAGTGAAAGGCGTAATTTTTAATGAAGCCGGCTTGGTTGTTAATAATACAGTTTTCAACTTTTAGTCATAAACTGGTACGAAAAGAATACTATTTTATGACTGACATATGACAAAACTTACCTCACAAGGTTGAATAGTGCCCATAGTTGAGCGTCTACAACTCCACGGCCTAAAGTTGTGTAGTTTCGAGAGTCGGGTGGGTTGGCTAATCCAATCAATGGCTTGTCGCGTAGATACGAAGTAAACGTAGTCTTTTTTCAAAATCTGAAAAAAAAATTTAAAAAATTATTTTTGTTATGACAAGTGCCTTAGTTTATCCCATTTTACCCTACTTTACCTTACCCTAGCTGTGCTTTCACTTTTCTCCAGCTTCCTACCCTAACTTATCACAATTTTCCTTAGCTTGCCAAACCTTACTCTACCCTACGCTTATCTATCATATACCAGCTAAACTAAAGTCCCTGCTACCCACCTAAATAAAGTCCCTACTACCCGCCATACCTCCGAAATGAACTGCTGTAGCGCATTAATCACTCCAGCATCAGGGAACATGTTCAAGAACCCTGCTGTCAGTACGATATGCATTGGTGCTCTGTTAGCTTCCTCATGAGCTTCAAAGTTCTCTTTCAAAGCCTTGACTAAGTCCTCCACTTTGGTCATCGTACCAGCCATATCTTCTAGCTTCAGATACGACTTGTCATTCCAATGATATGGTACTACTGGTACCTCCCATAAACCAACATGAGAATCCCTGACACAAGATTCAGTGGATTCACATTCCCAAGGAGCACGGTAATCCAGAGTTTGTGGCCAAAAGGGTCCGTCTTTGACCAGTAGTGAGCTGTCGTACTTGTAGCCAAGATGAGTTAGGGTTCTCATTTGGGAATCGCCGGAGGATTCGAATTTTGGTGCTCTGACTCCGGCAATGGCAGAGCGATTGGCGTAACTGAACTTCTCTAATGCTGCTTTCATTCCGTTTAGCTCATCGTACCATTTGCGTTCGTATGCGGTTGACATGTTGTCTGAGCTGAAATTTTAACGTCGTTGTTCGTTATAGAGGAGTTATACTATAGTTTAACCATTAACCCACCTCATAGAGCTCAGTCCAATCTCAACCCCATGACTTAGTAGCCATTGTGTTTGGTCGTAGTTGTTGTGAACGTGGTTAGCGAACAACGTTCCTCCAATTCTGCATCTGTTCGGATTCCGATACTTTCCGTCGAAGATGGCCTTCAACCTGTTGATAACTCTGTCATTCACAGGCCCATTAAAACTCAATAGTACCATTTGTGGAATGTCAGCCACATCAAAGGCTCCCGGGATGTCTAGTCCAGTTCTGGAACAGAAACAGTCCGGTAGTTTACATTGTTGTGGGTCTACTGGACAGTCTACAGCGGCATGACGATTTGGAGGGTAGTGTTGGTAGTTGTGAGCATGGGATGGTTGAGCACTTTGGCTGTGGTACTGGTTTTGCTGGCTAGTATTAGGCTGATTACGGTAATCACTTTGCTGTGCAGTACTATGTTGATTACTATACTGATTGCCACCGTACCTTGATTGAGAATTCTGATGTGATCTGGAAGCCTCTACAATCTGATTTTGAGTATCGTATTGAGATTGACCATTAGCATAACTTTGGCCTCGACTTTGATCATTTGACCGGTCAGTACTAACCCCGGTGTTTCGAGGTTCGTACTCCGGATGATATCTTGAATCATATCCTGGGACCCGTGTAGCCTGATATGAACTTTGAGAATACGTGGGCCTAGTACTGTAGCTATCATATGATGGTGTAGCTACATATGGTCGTTGGGTTGAGTATGTAGGATGATTGTATGGATTATGTTGGTATACTGGGCTTGTCGGGGCTACTGTAGTTGTTGTTGATGGGAACATACGAAGGCCTGGAATGTAAACATGGATTTTTACGTTTTGTTGAAGATACTATATGTTAGATTTCAGTAAAAAAAAACATAAAAATCAATAATAGATATGTATCCCTCACAAAAATGTAGTTTTTAAGAGTTATATGTTAGTGTATACGATAAAATACGATAATTTTAATTAGATGACGTTACTATACTTCAATATTAATAGAAAACACACAAAACTTCAATTACATTTTATACTGACAACATCAAAAACATACAACAAAATACGACAGAGATCAACGTTGCATACAAATATCACTACAAACAACATGAATCTACAGTAAAAATCACATCAAATACCATGGTCAAATGGGTAATCACACAACATATATCACAGTAAAATACAAACAAAAAATATATGTAAAGCTAAACATTAAATTGCTCAAATAATTCTGTGCCCACTAAGCATAAAAATTTGCTTTGAGAGGGGCAAAGAACTATTTAAACAACATAATAATAATTTTAAAAGCTTATGAGTCAATAGATATTAAAAAGAAGTACTAAATAGTACGAAAGACATTGGAAAATCATAGATATGATATGAAATTAGCAAAAACAATATAAAAATCAAATCAATAATAGTTACGTCACTAAACCATGTAAAACATCGTATATCGTACAATTATGAAAGCACTATGTTACGATACTATTACAAATAGTACTGTAAAAAGTATTTCATATAGTACCGTAAACAGTACTTCGAATAATACTATAAATAGTGCTTCAAATAGTACTGTAATCAGTACTTTAAATACTACTGTAAATAGTACTATGCCTTATAGTACAGTAAGTGCCATCAAAACCTAAAGCTATATCAGATCCTTCTCCTTGGAACTAGGCGTTGATGTACATTCGTTTCCATCCTCGGTAACACCGTATTGACATAGACATACGTTGTGGTAGCAGTACGAATACTTTGGGCACAAGATACCCAGCTCTTTGTTGCACCAGGCGCCTGGCTTTACTGAAATGTGAGGGTTTTGTATCTGTGTTTAGTCATCATAATATGTATAATATGACATATGATAGCTACTATTTACTACGTACTCACTGCAACTCGCTTCGTGCTCTAAATTTGTAATCATACTGAAAAATATTTTTAGTACTAAAAAATTCAGTATCACCCAAAAGTACTATCGTAACTCAGTACCAACCTACAGTACTATAACTTAGTACCACTCAAGAGCAACACCCTTCCTACCTGCACTAGTCTGATACTCGCACTGATGCCCCTTATCCACCGCTTCGGGTGGGCACGTGCATTTCCCATCCAAACACAACAGTGGTGCTGTACAGTCGCTGTTACTGGTACACTTTGCTTCTTTCCTCAACTTTCGCTTCACATATTGCATTACACATTTGGCATCACCTTTGTTGACATAGCCATCAGGACAAATACAGTAGTGGTGAATGCAATCGGCTCCATTCGCACATTTGTCGCGTTTGGTACATTTGGTGCCGGGGAGCTCTGAAAATGGGACTTATTATACTGTCTTTGGGCCAAAAATAGTACTAAGAGCACAAAATAGTACTAGTAGTAAAAAATAGTACTAGTACCAAAAAATAATATTAGTACCAAAAATAGTACTAGTAAAAAACAGTACTAGTACCAAAAAACAAGTACAAAAAGTAGTACAAATACCAAAAATAATAGTACTAAACCCCTAGCACCAAAACCCGTATTAGCACCAAACCCCAGAGTACCAAAACTCCCTTACTTTTCTTAGTATCAGCCAACAATTTCGTAGTACACTTTCCTGCCGAGTTTGCCACCATATTAGCATCACATACACAATAAGCTGTACTTGAGTTGATGCTTTTACAAATCGCGCCCAGCGCACAGCCTGATGTTATTGTTGGATTACATGGCATTCCCGGGAATTTACCGTACTTTTTGACTGTATTTGAGTGGGTTTCTAAAAGTTAGGGTTTTAGTACTATATTGCACGAAAAAAAAACTTTTTGTGATACTATATTGCACTAAAGAATTTATTTGACAAGTCCTTGCATAGAAGACTATATAATTGTTGAAAAGCGTAGCCTATGGCCCTTCAATTATAAAACTCAAAAAATGTTTAAAAATTTCCAAAAATTTTTAAAATTAAAAAATTTGTTTTTCCAAAATGCCGTTTTTTATCTTACCCTCAACCAAACGACTCTTCTTATCCTCCAAACTTAGACTCCTCTTCTCCGGCACACAATGCTCAGTATCATTAGCAATGGTCTTCGGCGGACAAGCACAAACGCCATGAAGACAAGCCGCGCCCTGTTTGCAGTCAGAACTTTCTTTACACTTCACACCCAAATGTTCGTAGCTCATCGGATGTTCATGTAGAGTCAGACGATTAAAGAACGGTATCTGAGGGTTGTTGCTTTGAGGTGATAATAACACATGAACGCAGCTTTGAAGGTCTTGACTAGCTACATAGCCTTTGGGACATTGACATGTCCCGAGGACACATGATGAGCCGTGAAGACATGTTGTTAGGTAGTCACAACGTTCCGAAGGTAGAGCGGTTTTTCGGCGTGGTTGGGTGGGGATTGGCTAGAATTTTAAATTTTTTTAGTCCATGGGGGAACCAAAAATTCAAAAAAAAAATTTTTTTTTACCCTCACGTGCAAATTTAGAAAAATGTAAAAAAATCCCCCCCCCCTCCTCTTAAAAATTAAAAAACCCTACTCTACCCCCTCCCTTGAAAACCTACCACCACAGTGGTGATCTGAATCGGTTTGCACTCGTTATTCTCCACGTAGTACCCATTTGGACATGAACATACGCCATGATTACACACTGATCCACCCCCACAAGCGCACGTCCCAACGTATTCACAGCCGGGATCACATAGCTGGCCTGGCGCTCGTCTTGGTCCATTATAAGGTGCTGGTGGTGTTGGTCGAGGTGGTGCTTGTGGGATTTGGATACAAATATTGCCTGAGGGGTAGTAGCCGGGGTCGCAAACACAAAGGCCTTGGATGCATCGTGAACCGCCTACGCAGACCGTGCCTGGGGCTGAGCAGCTTTGACCGGGATTGGCTGCAAAAGTGTATATATAAAACCTTTAATACCTAACGTTATGTTAGGCAATATATCTAAGATTATGTAAAATAGAACTTCAACACAATGCTAAATAAAAAAAATTACCTCTAAAAACAATCGGAGGCGGTGTTGTAGTAGCCGGAACATTGGGCTGAAACTTTCCATTTACACATCGACCGTTGAAGATCTCTTGACCATTTACACATACACATAAGCCTGACAAACACATCGCACCACCACCACAGCCAACTCCAGATGAACATTGTTGGCCTGGGAGGACGTTTACTCTCACTAAAATTATTGTAGGTATACTGTAAGTACCGTATTTGTGAGCAAACATAAAATAATTTACCTCACCCTGCTATAGTCTAACATAGAGTACCCTACCCTACCCGACCCTACCATTTTTCCTACACTACAGTACACCACTCTAACATACCTTATCATAGAATATAAAAACTATCTAAACCCTAAACTACAGTACTTCACCATAAAATACCTTTTGTTAGCATATCCTTCCCTACAACAACCCACGCTTTTTTTCACCAAAACAATGTTACAGTAACTTACTCGGAGTCCCTAGCACAATCGGCTGACAAACATTTTGTTGTTGATTAAGCACAGTACCCGGTAGACACTGGCATACTCCTTGTTGGCATACACTATTCCCTTGACATAGCGCATTAGAATTACATTGTTGACTTGGTAGTGGCGCTATGACAGTGATTGTGGCACATTGCCCATTCAAATAGCTTTGTCTTTGTGGACAAGTACAAATACCATTAGTACAGGTTGAAGAGCCAGTACAACGAGTAATCTTGTCCACACATGGCTCACCTGGTCCGGCTGGAAGGTTTGGGTAACAATATTAATTTTTAATTTTTTTCGAATTTTCAAAAAATTAAAATTTTTTCAATCTTTTAAAGATTAAAAAAAAATTTCAAAATTAATTTTTTTTTTAAATTCGACAAATTTTAAAAATTCCAAAAGTTCATACCGATAGTATTGACAGTGACACAAACACTCCTCTGAATCGGCTCCCCATTCGGACATACACAGAATCCATTAGCACATACTGAGTTACCACTACATTCGACCACGCCAATTTGACCCGCCGGCCGATCGCAGCTCTGACCCGGTTCGGCTAAAATCCGATTTACAACATTTGGCATGATATTGTTACCGTATATTCGAGGCACCCGACATTCACCATTGTAGACCTCGTAGCCGACTGGACATACACAGACGCCATTAAAACAGTACGAATTGCCAGTACAAATAGAGGGGTTTAGGCGGCAGTCTAGGCCTGGAGATTCTAAAAAATTGAGTTTTATATTTAAAAAATTATACTAAATAGTACTATATATGTCGTACTACGTAGTAATACATATGCAGTACTGAATAATACTATATATCTAGTACTAAATTGTAATATATATGTAGTACTGAATAGTACTATATATGTAGTACCCAATAGTACTAAAAATTAAAAATAAAAAAAATTTTTTGCTTTAGATACTGAATAGTACAAAAACTTAAAAATTAAAACTTTGATTGTTTGTGATGCTGAGTAGTACTAAATAGTACTGACCTTTATAAAATTGCAAAGTTTTTTTTGTATAGTACTAAACGGTACCAAAAGCCCAAACCTAGGTTAAAAACCGTACAAATCTACCAGCTGAATACTTTTTCAATTTTCAGTACTATTAAGTACCAAAACAAATAAAAGTTTACTATGCCAAAAATCCAATGCTATTCAGTACGATACAATTTCAATGCTACTGTACCACATAAAATTTCATATTCCACGTTTTTATATTATAAAATGTCATGTTTTTCAAGCCAAACTGCAGGTTTTTTGAGCAAAAATAGCACTTGCATCCAAGCAGATTCGAACCCCCGGTTTTCCGCAACAAAAAATTTTTAAAAAACTTTTATTTTACGCAACGATATTTTACAGTAGCATTACCAGTACCAAGATAAATCATTAAATACAAAATTTCAATTTTTAAAAAAGCTTTATTTTTCGATTCTACAGTACTTACTCTTCACAACAGTCCGGTGATAAGGTCCATTCCCCTGCTCAAGTATGGTTGGATTCGGTTTTGGAGAGAACTGTTCATTAGAAACACACAAACGTTCGAATGCAAACGTTCCCTGTGGACATTGACATATCTCGTGCACACAAACAGCACCACCGTCACAAAAGTCACCTTGACCACAACGTTGTTCCGGATTCACCACCAGGTTAGATACTACAGCAAGCCGGTTAATAAAGCAGTTTTTACGGTAATTTAGGTATAATAAACAAAAAATAATACGTTTCAAAATTTAAAATTGATGCGAAAAGAATGGCGCGTCCATAAAAATTAGCTTGACGTACAAAGAATAGCGCGCTTTAAAAACTATTTTGATGCATAAAGAATGGCGACCAGTACAAAAGTATTATAAAACCTTCAAAAACCTACTTTTACTCCGTCGTATACACAATGGACCAGCTTGCACATACTCTGGCAAACATTGACATACAGAGTCAGCACAAATGGCATTATCGACCAGACATTCAGACTGTGACCGATCGCATAACTCTCCCAACTGAACCGACTGCTTCTGATTATCATTCGGACTTAGGAACATGGACAAATAGTTAATATTGTTAATGTCATTCTCATGTTCACGAGGTTTTCTCACTTTTATCGTGGTGTTACGCACTATAATGTTAATGAGGGTGGTTAGTAGGTTATTGAAATACGGTAGTGATACAATACAAGATAGTTCTGAACAGGCAAAAGAAAGCTCAAACCAAGACTCAGCTTTGGTACCGCAAGTCCCGGCCTATGTTCTAGACCAAAAAATTAAGACCGGCACCTTTACAGGCCTAGAACAGAGGAAAAAGGAAAAAAAGAAGGAAAAGTCTAAATTTAAAAGTTAATTTTTTAAAATAAAAAAAAAAAAGAAATAAAACGTACTTTCAGCTTCTGGGACACAGAACCGACCAGATTGAATTGGTCGACTTGGTGGACATTGACATCGGCCATGAATGCACCTTGAAGCACTCAGACAAAAGTCTTCTCCTTCACAAGATTCGCCAGGAAAAACTAAATTTGACTTTTCAATTTGTAAAAAATAAAATTTAAATTTTTTGTGATTTTAAAATACATCAAATTTCGAGATTTTTCAAATTTTTACCCTTTATCCAATACATTTGCCATTTTTTAAATAAAAATTCATTTAAATGTTCTTTTTACCTGTTTTAAAATAATATTATCAATTTTGACAAGTATACAAAGTGGGAAAACAATTAAAAAACCAAACAAAACGCAATGCCAAACAACCCGCGCTTTTAAAAATACAAAAATTGAAAAAAATTTTATTTCAGAAATATTGACAAAAACTAACTTATGAAAGCCATATTTCATCTGACAAACAATTTTTAGTAGAACAAAAGAGATAAAAAGCTTAAAGTTTGTGAAAAAGTCCTATTTTAGCAACTTATTTCCAAATTTATTTTTTCTCAATAAATTTTTTTGGTAAAATACGCTTCAAATCAATAATTGTCCCAAAATTTAAAAAACTAACCTTTCTTCGGCCGTCGAACACACCTCCCTCCAGTGAAAACATAATCACTGATACATTCACAGAACCCTTTCGGACTACAGTATTCATTAGTAGGACAAGTTTGAGTTCGAGTACATTGTTCTCCATGAGAGACGAACAGCTTTGGTTTACACGAGCCTTCACGGTATTCTAGGCCTTTTTCACATTCACAGCGATTTTTAACACAAACTGTGCCTTTGGCACATAAGTGGGCGGAGTCACAGTGCGAAAAAACTGATACTGAAAATTTTTAAATTAACTTTTTTTTTTAAATTTGATTTTATTTTTAGGTTTAAAATCATTGTTTTAGTGTGTTATAGCTCTACAAAAGTTATTCTAACCCATAAAGTAAAATTTTAGAATAATTCAATACATATTATGTAGTAATTACTAGTAGAAAAAACCCAGCTTTTCAAGATACTGTAACTTTTTTCAAAAAGCAGCTAATAACGTAAAAATTTAGGTAACTGTAGACAGTTCTCTTGCGCAACTAATACCAAAACACTTTTTCTTAATTTATCAATATGAAAAAGTTACAGTAACTTTACTGAACCCCTTATTTTTTAAAAATTCGTACATTTTTTAAAAATTTTTAAGCAATAATTCCCAAAATCTAAACCATTTAAGAATCAAAACCTAACATAAAGGAGCAATACTCGTATTTTACACTACATACTGTGTTCAAAAGAAGTAACACTCCACTGCAAACCAAACTAAAAATCTTCAAAAACTAAAAGATAGAAGAAGAAATTGACCTGTTTGAATAGTCAAACAATTTCCATTTGATAAGGTATGTCCGTACGAACATTCGCATACTCCATTCGAACATTCTGATCCGCCGAGACAAGTGTCACCCAGTTCACATGGATCGCCTACTCGAACTGAAAATAGTGTACCGTTGGTTCGTCTCACATTTTATATACATGTATTTCACCGTGGTCTTTACTCGTTTTCCAATTTTTTTTGATGCAAAAAGAATGACGCCCCACTAGTAATGATATCTTCAAAACCCAGCTTACCAACCGCAGGACTGACACAAACTTTAGCCCTAAACAATTTGCCTTCAGGACAAGAGCATCGATCTCTTTGACAGATCGATCCGCCCAAGCATACGTCGCCGACTTCACAGAATTGGCCTGGCTGACGTTTCGGTATCATAATACAAACGCCATGTTTGTATTTAGTTCCTGGTGCACAAGCACAATGCCCACTTTGACACACAGATCCGCCAACGCATTTTCTTTCCAGACCTCCACAATATTCGCCGTATTTGACGTAGGTTATAACTCGGCATTCCTGAATATTAGAACTTTTAGAAAATTTATACCCAAAGTTATTGAAAGAGAGGAGAAGTGGTGGAACTAAATTAACCCCCCCCCCTCACAATTTGTCGCACAAACTCCCCTAGTTGCCATAGCCAAAAAAATCTCCCCTTACCTCATGAACATGCACATGTGTAGCCGGACACACACATACTTCATTACTCGGGCTACACACAGATCCTTTGCTGCAGATTTCTCCTCTGTCACATCGAGCTCCGGGTCCAACATGAGGTCTTTCAATGCACTGTTTATCCCTCATGACCAGCTCCAATGGGCAAACACATTTACCGGTCGATAATTCGCAGATAGAATTGGCTGTGCATATTTCTCCATTATCACATGGAAAGCCTGGAGGTGACCTTAGGCGTGGTACACATTGTTTTCCGATCGCAATCATCTCCTCGCTTATGCATTTGCACTGCCAATTGTGAGCGTCGCAGAAGGTTCCTTGGCTGCACTCTTCGCCGTTCGCGCAGGATTCACCGGGTAGAGCTGGAATTATAAAGTTTATTGCTTTTAAGTCCAGTCATTACCGTGTAGAGCATTTTTTTATTCTTTATGTGTCAAAAAAGTCTTGTCGTCAATCTACATGTATGTTAACAATAAAAAACGACAAAACTTTTCAGACCCTTAACTCTTAAATCCAAAAAAAATTAGATTTTTCAAAATATTCTGCGCCCCCTATAAAAGCAATTTTTCGAGTATAGAAGGCACAGAATTATTTGAACAACCAAAAAATAAAAAATTTTAAAATCATTTTTTCCAATGTAAAATACGATGATATAATCGCTTTATAAAAAATTAAAACCCCTACCATTGCCTCTCTGAAGACAAGCTCCACTCAATGCAATTGATCCCTGAGGGCATAGGCAAATGTTTTGCATACAAGATGATCCATTAACACAGGTTAAGCCAGGTAAACCACAACGAGAGCCTGGTCCTACACCTACCAACGCTACTAGAAAGAATAGAGATAGTGGGAGAAGTTTAGTTGAATAAATAATGAAATTTAAAAAAAAACAACTAAAAATAAGTTTTTTGAAAAAGAAAATCATTAAATTTTAAAATAAAAATCAAATAAGTATATTAAAGTAGGTAATAAACCAAGTTTCCTTGACACAAAAAATTAAAAAAATCAAAATTTTAAAATAAAAACAAAAAAAAACAGAAAAATAGGTAATAAATCCAATTTTCTTCAACATAAGAAAACAACAAATTTAAAAATTTTAAAGTTCTTAAGAAAAACTCAAAGAAAAAACAAAAAAAGCAATAAAAGTATGTTTTAGTGATTTTATTACCCAAAAAATACATTTCAAGCCCTTTATCTACCCCTAAACACAATTTACAGCCAACCCCAACCCTATATTTGTTTCCTACACCTCCCTCAAAAAAGAACACTCCTTTACTGTACCCCTCAGCAAAACCCCCTACCATACCCCCAAAACACATCTCTTCCTTACCCTTCCGCAAACCCCAAAACCCATATTTTCCCCATCCTTCTTCAGAACCCGCACCCTCGCCCCCACCAAAAACAGCCTCCTTACCCCTAGGAGCATTATCCAGTGCATGTCTAGTACCATAGCTATTCGGTTCTCTAGTACAATATCCATACATGGCGCCTGCTTGTCGTTGACATCTACATCTAGGTCTCGAGCACAATCCATGACAATCTCCATCCCTCAGGCATTGATGTCCAGCTCTTTTGTATCTTCGGAACACTTCAACACAAACACCGCCTACGGGCATTTGACCCACCGCGCAGACACAAACATTACGAGATTGATCACAAAATGAACCGCCCACACATTGACGAGAGTCCGTGCATGGACCGAGAGTACCTGGAAGGTGAACGTTAGTGTGGAGAGCTTGTTTTGAGTATTGAAACTAGTCCAAAACCCGTAGTTTAGGTATAAAAAACCCTATTTTTAGTACTTAAAAACCAAAACCTTCAAATACTAACCAGTAAGATCCCGACAGACCCCTCCTTGATTTGCCATGCCCGGCGGGCAGACGCATCGGCCGCTTTGACAATTCGAACCGCCCATGCAAACTTCATTATTCTCACATGGATCGCCAGGAGCGGCTGTCATTGAATTGCGACAAATTCCGTTTACATTCACCGTTGGACTGATACATTCACATATCTAAAATTATATTGTTTTAGACTTGGTTTGGTCAATATTGGTCTGCAATTTAAAATTTTTTAGAAGAAAATATAATTTTAGGTAACAGATTGATGCTATAGCATCTAAAGCCACATAATTTAATAAGTTTTAGTATAGTACTATATAGTACTAGTAGCACTAAACTTAAAAAATACTATATTTTTATCTTTATAATACTAAATAGTATCAAAAACTAAAATTTTTAACCTCCGGTGCTAAAAACTCAAAAAAATAGTATGGTGCTAAATAGTATCAGAATTATAAAATAACAATTTTTTGCTTCTTTTAGTATTACATAGTACTAAAAACTCAAAAACCACAATTTTTAAAATTTAGTACTAAACAGTACCAACACACACCTTATACTGATTGCAATGCGCATTAATACCACAAGCTTCTCCATTAGCACACGAACTTCCGGCCATTACAGTATTCGGTCGTACACAGTCTTGACCAATTTGGATAAAGTCTGATATACAAGTACAGACTCCACGAACACAGTACGAATGGCCTTGGCATAGTCTGGCAGCAGAACATGGTTGACCTGGTCGAGCTCGTTCGACCACTTTACATTCATTTCCTTCGACTACAGTTCCTAATGGGCAGGTACAAGTGCCTTGTTGACAGATTGAGCCGCCTGTGCATCTCTCTCGGCCGCTTGGACACGATCCGCCTGGGGGTACTGAAATGGGGGTTTTCAGACATGATTTTTCAAAATTTTTTTTAGTATTTTAGGTAACAAATTATACAGTATTAAGCCGTTCAAATAATTGTGTGCCCCTAACCTCAAAATTTGCTTTAAAGGCACAGAATTATTTGAGCAACCTAATACTTTAAGTAACCAACATAGTATGACTTCTGTCTGACAGTACCTTAGTTAACAAATCTTGCCGTTATTTCTGTCTTACAGGACTTTAGGTTACAAATACTACTTTTTTAGGCAACAAATATTAATAAAAGCTTATATAATGTAATTACAAAATGCAAAAAAGAAAGTTTACCAGGTGGAGGATATTGACAAGACCCATTAATAGCTTGTAGAGGTGATGTGCATGTACAAACATTATCTTGACATACAGAACCGCCACTACAGCGAACCGCTCGGTTACAGCCTGATCCTGGGGGTACTAAAACAAGATTATTATAATAAATTGTATAAAAAATTGTTTTTAACCAAAAACGGGTTAAAACCTTAAATTTTAATTAAAAATTCAAAAAAATTTTTATGAAATAAATTTTTTTTTGTTAAAATACTATTTAATATTTTTAAGTAAAATAATGATCTTACCAGTCATAGGAGTAACACATTGCCCATTCATAACCGATGTTCCTTGAGGACAAGTGCAAATTGAATTGACACAATGTGATCCACCGCTACATTGTTCATCTATCGTGCAGTTTTGAAGTGGTGCTGATCGTACTGAAATTTATTTTTAAATCAGTTTCACTTAGAACGGTTTTGAAGTTTATATATATGGTAGTTCAAATAATTCTGAGCCCCTTAAATCCAAAAATTTTCCTTGAAAAAAAGCACAGAATTAGTTGAACAACCTAGTTGGTATATTTTTTAAATAACAAAATTAAACAAGCCTTTTAAACCTCAAATTCCAACCCCAACTCACATAAAGTACAAATCCCATTCAACGCCTTCATATGTTGAGGGCAAGTACACAACGAATCCACACATTGCGACCCTCCAGTACATTGTCGATTCACTAAACAACTCTGACCAGGAGCCACAACATCCACACACGTTCCAGCGTTCTCGATTTGATTAGCACGACAGCCAGGTTGGCAGATTCCAGCTGGATTCCTCATGAATCCTCGTGGACATCTACTCATACACCTTTGGCCGGAGTATACCTGATCATGCGGACATCTACACTTGCCTTTGTCACACAACATTCCAGGATGCACGGCGTGACATTGGATTGAATAGAGACAAGAATCGCCTGGTTGAACAGCTGAAAATAGCGTTTTAGATAGGGTTTATGAGTATACCAATATATTGATGTAGGTATTGACGTCAAGACAAACATATTATAACTTTCTTGGTAAAATACGCTGCATCCCACAAGTTACACCACAATAGCTAAATCAAAAATCACAAAAAAAGCTTTAAAATCATAACAACATATCCAAACTTACTAGGCAAGCAACTTCCAGCAATAGACGAGAACACTTGATCGGCCGAGCAATTAGTACCACAAGTACCATCAACAGCGACTGGTAATGAAGTTGGACATACACATTTGCCCATTAAACATCTAGCTCCAGGTACGACAACATTACATTGCATAGAATGAGTACATGGCCCAGATCCGGGGAGTATAACTGAAAATGTCATGGATAATAAAGAACAAAAGAAAAAAGAAGAGGTATTTTACAAAAAAAAATAAATAAATTGCCGCATTAAGACAAGAACTTCAAAATTTTTTTTAATTTTTGAAAATTTTTTCATTTTTTGACACTTCGTCTCAGCTATTGATTTTTGACATTCCGTCCTCACTTTAAAATTTTAACATAAAACTGCGTCTTCAAAGATAAAATTAAGATAGATACCTAAAAAAAATTAAAAAAATTTTTAATTTTTTTTTGTAAAATACGCATAAACTACCTTCTTTGCACTGTCCCAACTCGCTGACCCAAATTTGATTCTTCCTAGTGCAATTTCTGTCCACAAAAGTGCATGCATTGCTGTTTTCAGCCGTCATCATGCCATAAATGCAACGACACTGCAAGTTCTGACAAAATGCACCAGGTTCCGAGGCTCCACATTGTTGAGAGTATTGGCAGGGGCTGCCGGGGGTGGCTTCTAAAATTTTGTAAAATTTAAAAAACTAAAAAAAATTTAAAATAAAGTCAGTTTTAAAGTAATAATGGCCCTGTAGACTCTAAAAACACTTATTTATAGCATAACTTTTTATGTTCTTTAACATAAAATAGGTCCGTCCCTACTCGCCCGACGGTCGATTTTTCTCTTTTCCTTCCCCAAGGCCTTGTAAAACAACACAAAATAAGTTCAAACCCTAATTTTAATAAAAATTCAAGTCAAAACCCACCAGCAAGACAAGTTCCGACTTCAGCGACATAAGTTTGATCAGCTGGACAGCTCGCCACTGTGGGCTCATCTTGATTCGGAATGCAAGCGCTGCCAGCATTCAACGCGCCTTCTCTACACTTACACACTCCATCACAATAAGCCAAAGGGTAGCCGGCACAGGCTGTGTCGGCTGAGCAGACATTGTCTAAAAGTTTAAGAATATTTAAAATTTTTAAAATTAAAAAAAAATTTTAGAATTTTTTTTTAATTTTTAAAAATATTAGTATCTAGTAGCTTAGTAAGATTGTAAAATACGTCCTTCACACTTTCTATTTGAGCAGAAACCACATAAAATACTATTTTAAGCTTAAAAATCAATATATTCTTAATTAAAAAATTTTTAAAATAAAAAAAACTTTTTTTTCAAAATATAGCCCAAACCCTACCTGGAGGAATGCCCATGACAGCAGCAGAAACGGCATCATTCAGCTGGATCAGCTGCTTAAACTGCTCCTTCTTAGTTCCATCCTTCAGTCGATGAAATGAAGCCACGTCCACCTTCTCAAGCCCATAACTTTTTCCATTTTTTCCAAATTTTTTCGTTTGTCCATAATCTCGCCTATCACCTATGGCTGATCCATAACTTTGTGTATTAGCCAGTTCATAACTTTCTAACTTAGTCCAACCAAGGCCATGTAATCCCACGTTTTTCGCACCATAATTTTCGACCAAAATGCCATTTCGAACATCAGCAAAGGCTCCTACAGAACAAAACAATAGTACGGTACAGAATAGTACTATGGTACATAATAATGATCTAGTACAATATCTGAATATGAATTTGAGAGGCATTGAAACGGCCTCATCGAATTATGAAAAAAAGACAATTCCTTTTCATTTTTTCGCATTTTTTGGGCCGCAGGTGTTTGGAGAAGTCAATCCATCAAACAGATAATTCTAGACAAAGTGGAGGACGTGACTCATGCATCAAAAGTTTTAGGCGAACGCATATGCCGTGTGGCTTTGGTAGGTAATAAGAATAGCCAATCCTAACCTATTCTATTGAGTAGGACAGACTAAATTCTCTATCCTATTGGATAGGATAGAGTAGGATTGGGTAGTGTAAGGTAGAGTAAGGAAGAAAAAGCAAGGGTAGGTTAAGTTAGAGTAGAGCAAGACAAGTAGAAAAAGATAAACCCGTAGCAGAGATAAAGTAAAGATAAACCAAGGCTAGAAGAAAGTAATGTCATTTTTAAATATAGCCCCAAAAATTTCAAAAAAAAAATTAAAAGCCCAAATGTACTTTTTCAAGTTTTAAACATGTTTTTTAAAGTTCCAGCATGTTTTTTATTGATAAATGACCTTCAAGTACCATAAAAACAAACTTATGTTGATAAATATGTATTGTTTTGTTTTATAGCAACCAGCTGATGTGTAACATCATGAAAATAAAGAAAAGTGTCGTCATAGTTCAAAGGGTTAATAGTTAGACAATACTTCAGTGAACAGAAGCTTTTAAAATAGTTAAAAAGTCAGATTTTATTTTAAAAAATCAATAAGATTTAAAAAACCCACGCAAAACACATCGATTGCCAACTTGCTGATACCCAACAGCACATCTGCATTCCGAATCTTGGCACATTAAATCAGCTCGACCTTTAGCACATTCTAGGTTCTCCGTACATCCTTGATCCCCTAGTTGAAGCACTAAAACATACGTTTGAAGTTTGTAAAATACGGGATCTTTTCTGATCTATACCCTGCCTAACAAAAAAAAAATGAATGTTATGCCATGCCGCCATTAAAAAGTAACAAAAGTGAGATGCCCTCTCTATGAAAAACTTGATTTACCATTCCCTATTCAACAAATCAAATATTACCATGCCATATTAAAAACATGATTTATTTACCGTGCCGTATCAAAAACCCCAATTTTACCATGCCCTATCAAAAAAAACCCAATATTACCACGCCATATTAAAAAACCTGACATATAATTCAAAGCCCTATACTAAAAAACTCAACATTACCCCGCCCTATCCAAAATCCCAAAATTATCCCGCCCTAACCAATAATACAAAAACCACCACCCGTTCAATATTTTTACCTTCCCTCCCTACAAAAAAACCAAAAAACTTACCCTGCCGACACTTGCCGTTGACCTGAACAAAGTTGGGAGCACATTTACACTCTCCATTGACACAAACTTGTTGTATATGGCTACAATCTCTGGTCAGTTTACATGGTCGACCAAGTTGTAGAGCACCGGTCGATTTGAGACATTTGCCAGTTTGAGGATCCTTCCAATACCCATTAACACACTGACAAACGTTATTGACACATCGAGCGTGAACATCGTGACAAGGACAAAACGGCCAGGGTTTTACTCGCCAAACATTCAGTAATATGAACAGTAGAAGCAGTAGGCGCATGTTGTGGTATGACCTGGAATAAATAGGTTGTTACCTAAAGTAATATCGAATATAACCTAAAGTATATAATAAGTTGTTACCTAAAACAATATATATCAAGTGTTAGCTAAAAGAACACAAGTTGTAGAACTGAGAAGTGATTAAACTATAAAAACAAAGCTTTAAAAACTAAGAAATCAAAGTTAAAATGATTTTAGAACACTATAAAATATACTTTTAGGTATAAAGCCTAACATAATATCAACTTTTGTCCCTTCCAAGTCCTTAAACTGTCAAAAACTCAGACTTCCAAGTCATTAAACTATCAAAAACAACCTTTAAAATTACCAAAAATTCAGATTTACTATAATGTAAAATAAGAACTTATAACAAAAAATAAATTGAACTACAAAACCCCAAGTATAATCAATAAAACCACCTAAAACAATATAAACCTTAAAAAAGTAAGTAAAACTAAAACTTCCCAAACAAAGCCAAAGCTAAATTTATCCAAAACGAGTCAGAAACCGAGATCCGACGACGCATAATAGGTTTGTTTGATCAGTTGTGGCCATTTAATGGCCAGTTTCATAAAGTGACCATCGCAAAGTTTTGAAATCCAATATCTTCATCCATGAATAATATACCTGAAATTAAAAGGTTACATTAAAAATACGTGAAAAAATAAGATTTATTTTAAAATAACTTCTTTCCACCTATAACATCCATAACTTCATAGTAATGTTACCTAAAACATTACTTTAACTACGCTCGAACTGCTAAAAAGCTATATTAATTAGAAAAACGTAAAATATCGAAAATATAAGTTATGAAAATATGTTAAAGCTTACGATACTTAATTTAAAAAGTATAATTCATATTTCGACAATCAGTAGAGCTTTAAACCAATACATTCTGATGAAAAACGACCTAAAATGGTCTAAAATCACACTAAAACAATGTAAAACATATGTTATTACCTAAAACATCACAAAATCAGTTACATCTTAATTAAACTAGTTAATTTTATTCAAAATTGTCTAAGTTTATTAATATTTATGATCAGAACAAGATTTCAGTTTTTTCAATAATTATGACACATTTTTTAGACGAGATGACACATTTTCTGGAAGAAATTTGGGAAGTATAATAAGTTTATATTTCTTTCCCGAGCTCGTAATTTTTTTGTAACTGGAGCCAGATGTCTGATAAGAAGTTTTTTTTTATCTTTTTTTTTGTAAAATACGCCTTCTTTTTTGTTTTTTACTTTATATTATCCATGAAATTTTCAGTTATACTCCTCGGATCTGAGTCATGTACTCATTATATGCAATGTAATGTTGTCGTACCTGGAGCCAGATGCCTTATTTGAAAATGTGTATGTTTAACTTTATTACCAGTCGCTGTTGATGGTACTTGTGCCGGTCACTTTTTCTCTCTTCTATTGCTGGAAGCTGCTTGGCTAGTAGGTTTTGATAAATTTTTATGCTTTTTAACTTCTCTTGTGTTTAAAGTTGCATGATCAGACGTATTTAACTAAAAAAATCGTAACGTTTCTTTTTTAACTTTAATACCTAGATCAATATATTGGTATAACCCCATCTAAAACAACATTTCCAGTCGTACAACCATGCGATTCCTGTCTCTTCAATCGAACGGCACGCCGTACATCCTGGAATATTGTGTGACAAAAGCAAGTGTAGGTGTCCTCATGCATGCTGTCGTACTAATCAAATCGAGAACGCTGGAAGGTGTGTGGATGATTTGGCAATAGGTCAGAGTTGATGGTCTGACAAAGAAGAGGTAATGGGCTGAAGACTCAAAATGTGTGGATTCTTTGTGTACTTGTTCTCAGGTAAGTTCAAAGACTTTACTAAGCTTAAAACCTTGACTCTGCTTGAAATCTTTACTATTCAATTCAATTACGACTCGTTGTGTCGATAATAATGTTATACGGTCAAATTAAACTATAATAATTTGTCGCAACGTAAACATTGTTAATTGTAAGCCAATTACTGCGTAGTTTAAAGCACGTGCAGAGTTAATTACGAGCTAATTTTATTTTAAAATGCAAGATTTCGTGCTCTTAGCTAATTTTACAATCCTATTTCCGTTTTGACACTAAATGTAATTACAGCATTTGACGGTATAGTAAGGCTAAATATGGTATGGTAACGTAAGAATTAGGATATATTAAGTTTTGGCGTGGTAAAGTTGGAAGAGGAAATGGATTAAGATGGCGACGTAAGGTACAATATTGCACGTACATCACTGTATTGATAGGATACGATATGATCTGGTGTTATAGTAGGTAGTGATGAGATGATAATATAATAGGTATTAATGAAATGATGTTATAGTAAGTGTACATTTAAAATTTATATCTTGATATATTGTTTTTATTGTACATAGTAAGTATTACATATTGTAGTAGCTAAATCAAAAAGTTATTGTAAAAAGTATTATAATTCAAAATTTATATTGTGATAGATGTTAGGTCGAAAAGGGTATTATCTTTTCCGTTCTAGTGTTTACAAATATATTTTGAGTAAACTATCGTCTAATACGACGATTATCTGTTACATTTTATTGACGGTTTTCAAATACCAAAAACATCTATATTTGGTCGATTTACGTGGGTGTTCAAGTACGGACTTGTACAAGGAAGTTTGAAAGGCTATTTTAAGTTTTTCTATAAAGTAACTCAGGCCTCTGGCAGGGACGTCGCTACGGATTTCCTCTGGCGGAGGGGGGGAGGTCGAAAAAAATTTTTTCGTCCACAGGTACCGATTTTTCAAAATTTTTATTTATCGTTTTTTCACGTACAGGTACCTACCTGTGGAATTTTTTTTCGGATTGGCTCTGGGGGGAGGGGGTACCCCCCCCCCCCCCCCCTCCCCCAAACGACGTCCCTGGCCTCTGGCACTAGTTTTAGTCTACTTCTATAATTCTGTGACCGTTATATGATTTTTGATGTTTTACTGTGATAACATTGATATCGCCGTAGCTCTTGTTGTAGTTCTAGCCAGAGTCTTGCTTTTTGGGTCTGGTCCAGTCCGCGCGGTCCGGATAAATTTTTATTTGAACTTTAAAAGGTTTGGCTTGCACTTTTATGTTTTTTTTTGACCACCGTGTATGTTCTGTTTATATTTATGTTTAGATATTTATTTTATTTCGCAGACTGGTTTCGCATGTTTGGTAACAATGGCTGACTGTTAAAGTGGTCTCATTATGTACTTTTGTGGTCGGACAAAGTTTTCATGGCACTTTTATTTTGACTTTTGCTTAGTTTGTGATAAAAGATAGATATATTATAGTAGGTAGAATTGTATTTTTTTTAATAATGAAAATTTAGTTCCCACGTCACCAGCATAGCATAATATTACCATAATAATACTGTTCTCTAGCCCCGAATCATTAATCAATTTGTATTGTCATTGTAGGATGAGTTTGAAATTTATTGGCACGAAATGTCATGCCGAGGAATTATTTTGTTGAAGAACATAACGTGACGCTCTTTTTAACTCCCGAATGAGTAGTTTTTATTAAACATGGCCCCGTCAAAATCCACTTTTGTTTCAAACATTGGTCAAATATTTATGGCCAAAGGGGTTTGAAATTTGGGTTTTGGGGTTGAGAAAAATTTAAGATTTATTGGGTTTACAGCTAGGGGGGAGCTTAGAATTAGACCAGAATTGGGGCTTTGGGTAGGGCTAGGACCAGAGTTTTGGCTATGGTTACGGATTGGACTTGGGAGAGGGTTTGAGCCACAATTAAAACCAGGACTAGAGCTAGGAACAGGATCAGATTGATTGTTAAAGCTAGGGGTACAGATTGGGTTGGTGGTTGATATTGGGCTAATGCTAAGACTAAAGCCAGGGCTTGGCCGAGGGTCAGAGCTAGGGCCGCGGTTTAGCTCTAACCCCCTGCTATAGCTAAAAATTGACCTAGAGCTTGAACTTTTAATTATTAGTAATTGGCACTGCACAGATTTATATTTTATATGAACAGTTGATTTTACTTTGTCAATGTATATAACTTATAATATTTACAATTACATTTTTAAAATTAAAAAAAAAATCATTTTTATTTTACAAAAATTATCGTATTTTACTTTCTGTGCATTTTGAAGAATTCTTTTGACAGTTGCAAAATGTAATCGCATTGATTTTATCATCTGTATATGCTGGCTAAAGCCGATTCATGTGTAGGTTAAAGCCAATTAACATTTGGATACATGAGTAATATCTAATAGTCAGACGTCTCAAAAATTCTTGACTTTGAAACAAATGTAGATTAGGCCAAAATGAGCTTACATTGTTAATCCTAACAAGTCAAATAGGCTTATTTTAATCTTTATAGGCTTACCATGTTAATCTTGATAGGCTTATATTGTTAATACGAAGATGTTGAGAACGGAAATGGGGATGAAACTACAGTAATCCACGGGGTTTTTCTTGGATTTCCGGAAAGATATCGAGTAGGGCTTTGTGGGATTAGATTGAGTTACGACATGATATCCCCGTATGTATAAAGGTTGACAGGTTTCTGATACTTATACTCTAATGATGGGATTGATGAGGCAATATACTCATTGTAAAAGAGGAAGGTAGGGCTGAGGGTGGTTTTAAAATTGAAACCCCTTGCCAGGGTAAGTTAAGGCATGGAAAAGATAGATTGGGACTAGAGTGCGGATAAAGTAAAGCTAAGGTATTACTAAGGTATGGGCATGGTAAAGTAGGTTAAAAGAGGATGGCATGGTAATGTAGGATAAAGCAAGACAGGTTAGTAGAGCGTAGGATAATGTAGGGCAGGGCTTTGTAAAGATACTGTAAGAATGAGGTAAAAACATGCCAAAGTAAGATAGGGTAGGGGGTAGAGTAGGGTAGGGTAGGGCAGGGTAGGGCAAGGTAGGGTAAGGCAAAGTAGGGTAGAGTATGACTAAAGTAAAGTCCAACTTTAAAATTCCGAAAGCAACAGTGTAATTAATGGAGAAAGCGTGCTACACGAGTAATTATACGAAAGTAATGATGACATCTTTGTTCAGAGATTTATGGACAAGCAAGATAAATTACCCAAGGGCCTTTTTGGTCGGCTGAAAATTGTTTTGGATATAATAAATTTACTTTTATTGGACTTTGTGTAATGTATCAAGTTAATTTTAACTTTATACGTTCAGGCAGGCAGGGGGGGGGGTAGAGAAAAAGGTTTTTTTGGGGAAAAATTTTTGAAATTCACAGTTTATATCTAGAGCAAAATAAAAATTCATTTTGAAGTTCTATTAGGTTGTTCAAATAATTCTGCGATCATACCATTGAAAGTTTTCTTTGTGAGTGGGCACAGTATTATTTGAACAACTTAATAGGAATAGACTAACTTTATTTTTAAATTTATTTACTAAACTAAATTTTTTAGTACTTTTTTTGAGTACTTTTAAGTTAGCATGTTGTATTTGCTTAAAAGTAGTATAACAATAAGAATAAAGAGTGGTATTCGTTATATTGTTCTTTGTTTTAACGGCCACTTATACATGTTTATCAATATTATTTGAAAAAATTGAAGCCAATAAGGAAAAACGAACGTCAATGCTGTAAATAGTACTGTTTGTATTCAGTTTTTTTCGATTTTTTTTGATTTTGTTATCTAAGAGCAGTGAGGTATTATAGGTTGGCAAAGGCAGTACAGGGCAAAGATGGGAAGGCTAAGGAAGCAGGGTGGGGTAGGGCAGGCAAAACAAGTAAAAGAAAGGTCCGAACAGGAAAGGACAGGGCAAGGCAAGGCAATCCAAGTCAAGCCAAGGCAAGGCAAGGCATGGTAAGACAGGACAATATTCACGTTGATATATCTTAAACTATTACATGTTATAATTGCTACTATGACAAATCTACATGTAGTGCATTTTTTATTACATAAATAAGTATTCAAGTACACAGTTACTCAATTGTCATGCCTAAACATATAATTAGAGTTAAATTAATCATCTTATTGTCTATCTCCCACACATTGTCATATGCCAATTAGACTAAATATAATAGGTACTTTAAAGCTACCATAACATAATTTGTGGTTCAGTCCGAACGACAATGACTAAATTAACTTTTAGATTAATCTGATTAATCACGAAAACAATATATGTATGCGTAGGTAGATGTTTCATTGTGCGGCTTTGATTGTGTGTCAATATGTAGGTGAGATTAACTTAAACCACATTATATACAATTTTTTCTTTTTGTTAGTAGAGTAGGACAGAGGTAAGGTAGACCAAGCATAGAGTAGGGCTAAAGTAAGACTAAAGTAAAGGCATAGAAACGTAAGTTAGATAGATAAGGACAGGGAGGATAAAGGCAGGGTAGGGCTGAAGTATGGCTGACGTAAAGAAAAGTAAGAGCATGGAACAGTAAGGTAGGTACGTAAGGGCAAATCAAAGCAGGCAGGTAAGGTAGGGTAGGAAAGCTAGGAAAGGTTAAGGTGGAGCAGGGTAGAGGAGAACCCAAGTAAAGCAAAGGTAAGACTAGGGTATGGACTAGGCAGCGGAATGTCGCTAATTAAAGGCAGAGCAGATCAGGACAGGGCGAAGCAGACTAGAGTAGGGTAGGGTAGGGTAGGGTAGGGTAGGGAACGGTTGGGTAGGGTAGGGTAGGGTAGGGTAGGGCAGGGTAGGGTAGGGTAGGGTAGAGTATGGTGGGGTATTGTAGCTTAGGATAGGCTAGGGTAGGGTAGGGTATGGTATTTTAAATGCTTGTTTCTGATAATCTTTCATCTTCTCTACAGTTTTTTTAGTAAATAAAAAGACCGTAATCTTGTGATTTGATGGTTTTTAGTCGTATCATTGTTGCTTTACTGGAATTTAAATAGAAATGTATTTAAATCCTTGGCAAACATGTTTATGTTACGGTTATCGGATTAGGTTGTTTTTGTGTATCGACCAAAATTTAATACAATATTCACCCACGTAATGTGATGTTAGTCTCTAAAAATACTAAAAGTGCAATTTACCGTGGCTTAGGCATGGTGGTGTATGTAGTACTGTAGCTTTTATGGTGCGACGAAAGTGTTTTCTTTTGGGATGGGTACTGTAACAATAAGGGTTACGGTATGAGTAAAAGTGAGGGTAAAGGGGAACAAAAGGAAGGTAGAGGTAGAAAGTAAGGTTATTTGACATGCTATACTTTTTTAACGTGAACTATAACTTGTGTAACATTATAGTACACTTCCGTAGCCTTATTGATAATATATATAGAAAAACAAGCTTTCTTTAAGAGGTTGTAAAGAAAGTTATTAGTCGTTACGGAAGTTAATCACAATTTAAGATTGTAAACTGTTTAGGAAAACCGTAAAAAATAATTGTAAATAATTTGACATCGAACTGTGTACGTAAAAGAAGACGTGCAATCTTCAATGAAACTATATTATTGTAAGTAGGAAGATGGGAAAGAAACCATTTTATTGTAGGAAGATGGGATAGTATATTGTTAAGAAGCCTATAGAGGATGTGAAAGACTTTTTGAAACTAATAACTTTTGGGACTAGTACTGAAAGGGTAAGGAGAATGGAAGAACTTCAGAGTTTCCTACGGCTGCTGAACCGGCTTCGGAAGCGGCACCGGGGCGGCTTTGACTCTTGTCCTAGAGCTTGAGCTTTAATTTATAATAAGAGAGAGCCAAAACTCGAGCTGATGCTAGAAAATGTCGAATTTTAGTACTAAAGTCTTCTGATACTGACACAATTTTGATGCTGCTGCGGCAGCCGAAAATTTTTAATTTGGGAATTAAAGTTAGGCTGTTAAGACGCAATTTGGGTCATCTTGTAGCTACGGTCTGGCTTAACGAGGCTTAGAACAGTCTTATACTCTGGCCTAAAGAAGTTTTAGGAACGGCAGGGGCTAAACAGGTTCGAAATTTGTAATGCTTGACCAACACTGAAGGGAGGTCGGAGCAACTTTGCAGGGGGCCAGACAGTTCTAGGCTAGCTTTAAAATGGTTTTTTTACTCAACTTCAATCAAAAATTTTTAAAAATTAACATTTTTTTGCAAATATTTTGCTTTACTATTAATTTTAAATATGACAAATCTTAGTTTTTCAAACTAGTAATTGAAATTTTGTTTATTTCCTGTCTAAAAATTTAAAACTAAAATAAAATAAAGTTTTTAAATCTTTCAAAATCTGCCGGAAAGATTATGAAAGTTAGCACGTTCGAAATCGTTTGTCATAAGTTTTGGCACAATGTCATGGCGGTCAAAAACCAAAGGCATCTTAATCCATCAGAAGAAAAAGTTGTTACCGGAAATTTGAAAGTGCTTCTAGGAAGTTGATGTAAATAAAAACATGAAGGCGGAGGTTTAATAAGGGCTTTTAATAACTTGTAGCACTATTAATACTCTAGGTGTTTTAAAAGTTTGCTAGTTTAAAAAAGGCTGGACGTAGAGAAAGGTATTGGCATTTTTATGGGCAGATAATTCTAAGGTCAATCACGTCTTAGTGTAGGACAAAGTAGGGTAGGGTAACATTGGTTAAGGTAAAGCAGGATAGGTCAGAGTAGGGTAGGGTAGTGTGGGGTAGGGTAAAGTAGGGTAGGGTAGGTTGTGCTGTAGGACAGGAGAGGGTAGGGTATGACTGGGCAATAGGGCAAGGCAATTCAAGGCAGCAAGGTAAGGGCACGGAAGGGCAGGACAGTGCATTGTAAGGTATGTTACAGTATAAAAACAATTATTTTAACCTATCTCTCGTAGAGAAAGGGATAGCCATTTTATGGGCATGGTAGAGTAGAGCAGGACGAGGCACGCAAGTGCATGGTAAAGAGGGCATTGTAAGGTGTAACATAGTATGAAAGTAAGAAAACTGATTTTTTTCTTCTCCCTCTCCCCCCCCCCTTCCCCCTCATACTATACTAAAATCGTATGCCTAGCGTTAATCATAAGCTAATTTTTATTTATTTTTAAAATTAGCAATTATCTTGCAAGTCAGATATTAACTAATTGAATTCAATTAACCTGCACCTTGTCTTTTATCAAACTTAATTCGTTATCTTTTCAAAGCTAATTAATTATCGACTTTTCCTAATTTAGTGTCAAATTTTAAAATATCATGTTTCGCGGTATTTTGCCAATTACCCATCGTATCTCCGGAAGTCTCATTTTCTTCACTGAATTTCGAGCAAACAAGACTCTGAATAGATTCATGCCTTATTAGAGGAGATTAGAGACATGTGCTATAGACGTCACCTATAATATCCTCTACAATGTAGTTTTACATTCCAAAATAATTGAATAATAGATTTTAATTTGAAAAGGGTATTTTTGGATTTTTGAAGTGGCATTTACACTTTATAGTTTTCGGGTTGTTGATGGTTTGGATGGGAGGCTTAAAGCTAAAAGTAAGGTAAGCAGGGTAATGTAGAATTAAAAAAAGCTACAGTTCAGAATATCAGGTAGAATAATATTATGTTATGAAAGTACAAATAAGTTAAAACAAATGTAAGGCATACCTACAGAAAAATAAAAGTTTTATAAAAATGTAGGGCTCTGGCAGTGATTTTATAAAGTAAGGTTAACAAGACTATGACTGATGCAAGGCTAGGGTTCAGTTTAAGGCGAAGGTTGCTTAGGCTAGGACTAACACTAAAGCTAATGCTAAGTTTAGGGGTATTGCTAATGTAAGGCGGAAGCCTAGGTTTAAGCTCAGGCTTACATTAAGGCTTTGGCAAAAGCTGAAGCTAAGGCTAAAGTTAGGGCTAGGACTAAGGCTAAAGCTTTGGCTAAAGCTAATGATGGAATCAAATCTCAATCTCAGGCTAATGTTAATGTTGAAGCGAAGGCTCAAGCTAAGTCTAAAGCTAAAGCTCAGACTCAAGCTATGGCTAATGCTAAGACTAAGGCTCAGGTCAGAAGCAAAGCTAGGGCTCAACCCCAGGCCAAGACTAAGCCTAGAGATAAGAATAAAGCCAAAATGTTTAACATTCTTGACTTCCTCGACTTTATTTATCTCCACATGATACTTAATTTATGACCGATTGTAGGAAAACATTCTTTTTTGATTTCCCATTGTTTTGGGACAACTTTCTTTTTACTTTCATAAAACAGTTGGTCCGAGAATAATCGACCAGTTCCTCAAATTTAATTCGTTTTTTTCATTTTGGTCAGCGGCGATTGATTCAATTTTCCAAAGTTTTTTCGAATTTCATAAAGCCAAGAAATGGATTAAGGGAGCTGGTAGGAAGATGGATGACATATTTAGATAAGTGCCGATATTGAGTTAAGGTATAGTTTTGGAAAAAGTTAGGAAATAATATTGAGTCTGTGGCGTTATTTTTCAATTGATTATGACAAATAACATTTTTGTTAATTTTGATTTTAATATTGGGCGTGATAAATTGTTTTACCAGTTTTTTTATGGAGAAGGGGTAGGGTAAACAAAACTTTTAAGTAAACTTAAAGGACCAGTTCGCCCATCCAAATATCATTGGCATTCTGTCGCAAAAAGCGTCGAAAATCAGGCAATTTCAATCAAAATCATTTTTCTCAAAAAACGTGAGTGGGTTGGTGTCGAAATGAATTTTCTAATTTGGGACCGATCTGCTCAGGTTTTTTTCGAAAAAAATGAATGTCGAATTTTTGCGACAGAATGCCAATGATATTTGAATGGGCGAACTGGTCCTTTAAAATTGGGCGGAGAGCTATAATCTGAGATTGAGCCTCAGCGTTAGCTTTAGAAAGAACGTGAGTTTGAGCGTGAGCCTGAGCCTGAGCTTTAGCCTTAGTTTTATTCTTAGTTTTCGTCTTATCTTGATGCTGAGCCTTGACCTTGATCTTACAATTGGGCTTGAGTCTTGGTCTGAGTCTCAGCCTGAGTTTGAGCTTCAGCCTGAACTTTAGCTTGAGCTTTAGTTTGAGTTTAAGCCTTAGGTTGAGCTTGAGCCTTTGCTTTAGCCTTATTTTTAGCTTAGGCTTTGGTCTGAGCTTGAGTTTGAGCTTTTAGCTTGTGTCTTAGCCCTAGCCTTTGATTTAGAATTAGCTTGAGCTTAAGCTTGAACCTGAGGTGAGCCTGAGTCGTAGCCTAAGCCTGAGTTTTAGCCTGGGCTGGAGTTTCGGTCTATGCTTGAATCTGAGATTTAACCTTAGTAATGTTAACCCTACTATTATAAATAATACTTTCCTTATACCTCCAATTTTATAATTTTTTTGAGATTTTTTGAATGAAATGGGTATTAAATTTTCTTTAAAAAATTGTTCATCGTACTGTAACCCTTCTCAAATGTCCATAAAACAAGCTGATTGCACTTTGCAAGCTATTACAAACTCAAAAAGAAACTGTCATGAGGGAGTATATACTTGTCGCAGCCAATTATTTTCGAAATCCGAGAGAAAATGTCCATTCGGATCGGAAACCTGGACAAAACTTTTTATTTCCAGAGTATTTTAGGGTGTAATTTGAGTATGGGTGGTAATTGGGTACGTTATGGTTAGCTCGAAAATTTAATTCCTTTTTGTTTTACATGGGAGGGGATAAGTCGATATAGGGCTAAGTGTGGAAAGAAGTAAATTTTTTTTAAATTAAAATTGAATTCAAAATCTCTCCGAAAGAACGTTATATTGTCATGTCTTCAGCTTTCTGATCCTTGGCTAGTCGGCCAAAGATTTGCAGCTATCTTTTGGGTGATAAGAGTGATGGCTGTGACAGGCGCCAAGTGCGATTTCTTTGCCAGTGGGAGGTAAACGAGGCATTATTACACCGTAGCGGCTCTTTCAATGCTTTCTGCGATGTTTTAATTGCTCCACAATGGCTAGCGGTTCTTTTAGCGCTTTTGTGTTTTGTTTTTTTTTCTGTGGTTGAGGGCATGGCGCAATCTTTTTAAAAATATTTTTTAAATATTATTTTTTACGTTTAGACGAGTTTATAAAATGAAGGTTTTGTTATAGATAATAAAGTTTAGAGCCAGAGCTAAGCTGTGGCTATGAAAATGATTATGAATATGACCATGGCTATGGCTATGACCATGACTATGACTAAAGGTAGCCTTAGGGATAGGGCTAGAGCTAAGGCTAGAGTCACAGTTAGGATTAGGGTTACGGTTATGACTATGGCTATGGCTAAAAGTAAACTTAGGGCTAGAGCTAGAGCTAAATCTAGAGCTAGAGCTAGAGCTAGAGTTAGAGCCAGAACCAGTGCCAGCGCTAGAGCTAGAGCTAAAGCTAGAGCTAAAACTACAGCTAGAGCTAAGGCTAGGGCTAGAACTAAATCTAGGGCTGAAGCTAGGGCTAAGGCTAAGATTAGAATAAGGAATTGTTCTTTAACCTTTTAGTTACAGTACAACAAAAATTTTGCATTCTTTCTTAAAGTCACATATAACATTACATATAGACAAACAAACTTTTTGCAACTTTTGCAAAAAAAAATTATTACCTACGACGTATTTTACCAGAAATATTAAGTTTTTTTTGCAATTTTACACTTTTGTTCCCACAAAACTGTTATTTTAGATGGCATACAAGGTCATAAGACCTCAAAAATTAAAGTATTGAGTATTGTTTGAACAACAATAAGTGGGCTTTGGCCATGTTTACATACACATGTATATAAGCGTATATAAGCTGTGTCTATGTGATGGTTGGATGTATGTTATCTTGTGTATTTTTATAGTTTAGTACTAAGTGTTGGGGGGTTTTAGAAATTACTGATTTTATTAAAGCTTTTTATTTGTAGTAAATGGCTAGAGTAGGGCTAGGGTTAAATATCTAATCGGTTTAGTATGTTACGACTGGTTATACGACCTCTAAGCCTAGAAAACACGGCTTCACCTAAGCCTACACAACCCTTAAAAACTGACCAAACATTAAATATTCAGTAGACAATTTAAATTTTAATTGTTTTTTCAAAAACGTAACAAACACTTTACAGTAAATGGCAGCGATCTCTGTTACGCAATCGTGTTTCACGATATCATTTGATTACCTGTATATTGTATTTTAAACTTTTTCGAAATTAGAAAGATCAATTACCTGTTTACTATAACGTTTGTTTTTGCATGGTATAGCAATAACTATCCTAACATTTACTTAACGGTAAGTTCGGACATGAAATCGAAGTAAACCGAGGTCCGAGCCCAAAACCAGGTCAGACCTATGTACAAGGCTGGATTGAGCTGAAGTTAGGGCTACTGTATAGGGTAGGACTGAAAATGTTTTTGACAGAAAATATTTTAGGGGATGGGGTACGACTGGTTAGGGTGAAGTAGAGTACCGTAGGGTAGGGTAAGGTAGGGTAGGGTAGGGTAGGGTAGGGTAACGTAGGGTAGGCTAGAGTAGGATAGGGTAGGGTAGAGCTGGGGTAGATTTTTCAAAAATCACGATTTCTGCAAGTTTTGTGTGTAGTGTTTTGTCACTTTTCAAGCCAGATCATTCAATTTTCTTAACAATTTTGTAATTGCACTGTTGACAAAAAACACTTTGATAGACGATTCATTTACCAAATGAGTAATTGACCTTACTTAAGCTTCAAATGTTATGTTATAATGCTTTTCTTTTGTTTTTGGGGTTTAGTCTTATTTAAAAATTTTTAATTTAAAACATTAAAACATGGTTTAAAATGTAAAATACGGTTTGTTATGCTTTTGCTGCATTAAAATTTTAAAGTTATTACTTTTTTAAAACTAAAAATTTAAAACTTTTAAAACTACTTATACCCTATCTTACCTAGTGTAATATCACTTTTCCATAACTTACTCTTTTAACGTTTTAAAGTTAATCCAAAAATGCCACGGTGCCTAATCTCAGTTTATCTTGTAGCATGTGACGCTGTGATTACTATGTGTAATATCTTAACATATTACACTATGTGCATGTGAAAGGTTAATGCAATAAATATATAGTTTTTTACTACATATGGCGAACAGATAGATGATAACACATTGAAAGTGTATCACGTTATGCCATGGGCAATATGGTACGTGGTTCACGGATTCACGTACTATGTAGCACATATTATGGCACTATAGTTCATATAACTATTATACATTAACTTTGTAAATTTTAAGGAGGTGAACATGTAGGTGTAACTATAGGTCAGTAAATGATGTATAATAAGTAGAACATACAATTGTCTTGCACTAAATGTCAACAATGCACTGTTAAGAGCATCTACTTTGTTTATATTTACAATAAAGATACTTTTACAATGTAAATATGCAAAGAAAAGAATTTTTTTGAATAAGCACTTATTGTGTCATTTTGATTATACTGTGATAATTTTAAGAACATTATGGCATCATACTGTCAGCGACTTCACGTACATCATGTTCTTTACTATTATATCAGTGTTTTATTTGTCTGGTATCGCTTATTTCAAATTTAACATCAGGACTTGGTAGAACGTTTTTAGAATGATTCTTAGCCAGCCTTAGCCTTAATTTTAGCTCTACTCTTAGCTCTGAACTAGAACCACCACCCTTGTCTACCATTGTCCAACCGTGACTGTTCCCTAGTACGCAATAGCATTTCACATGATCTATCTCGGAAACCATACCCTATCTTTGCGTTAGCCTTACCCATGCTGTATCTTACAATTCCTAGCCATGCTCAAGTCCTACCTCTAGGCATGTGCCAGCTTAAGCTTATACTTTATCTCTAGGCTTATAAAAATCGAATTTTAGGATTATCGTACTAAAGGCTAGGGCATGAGGTGTCTTTCCTTACAATTTCCTTACTTGTTAGTTTTACTTTACTAAAGTCCTAACTTTTTTTGCTTTTTCAAAATATCCGTACTACCAATGTATCCCCACCATACCCAATTCCATCATCAATACTCAATCATGTACATTACCGCACGCTACATGCTCATTTCCTGTAGCCGCTTCCATTCATCTTCACCCGAAAACATGTTTTTTTCGTCGCTGTTCTGGCCAAATTAGTGCGAGTCGGCGACTCTTTTGTGTTTGGCCAAAGGTATTTCCTCTCTGTTGGCCATCGGAAATTGCCAAAGTCTTTGCAGTTTTCTACAAATTTGTGAATAGTCAAGTTTGTCGACCACGGGCTTTATTGGGTTACTGTAGTTGGCTTTATGTAGTGTTTGAGAGACATTATGAAAGAATGACAATATTGAGTTAAAAAATTTTTTTTTGAAATTTTGAAATTGAAAAGAGATTTTAAAGTTTGAAAAGAAGCTCAAAGTTGAAAGAAAATTTAAAATTTTTGAGGCTGAGGAAGTTGAAAAGGTCAGGTGAACGAAAGGATGTTGTCGTATGTTGTCCAATGTAGACATAGCTTGTTATGGTAAATATTAAAAATTGTTTAGAAGGAAGTAGCTTTTTAATCTTTTTAACATATTTTCACGTACAAAACTTTGTTATAGGCAAATTGATTCGGAAAAAAAATATAATAGAGTAGGCAGCTTTAAATATGCTTATTTTTCGCGTACTAACTCTTGTTATAGGCAACAAAAATGACAGTTTTTGCATTTTTTTAAAAATTGTTAAGTTTTATAAAGCTTGCTATCTTAGAATTACTATAGTTTGTCTTAGATTTACTTCAGCGTTACTCCCGTTCTATCCTAGCTTGATAGTAGCCTTACTTTAGGTTTACTTTATCTTTATCTTTAGCTTTATATTCTTACCATAGCTTTACCTTATGTCTACCATACTCTAACTCTGTCTTATCCATACCAAAGCCTTATTCTGGGCCTAAAATTGTCTAGCTTTACTTGAGTCTTAGCTCAAGTTATAGCTTTAGTCCTTGCCTTCTCCTTGCTCTAGCCTTGCTCTATCCTTAGTCCCACACCAGCTCTACTCTAGCGTTACCTTAGCATCAATCCAACCTTACTATAGACTTATCTTAGCCTAATTTTTAAGCGGTCACAATCACAAAAAGACAAAAATGCGAATCTCGTACTTTACCAACTTAATATTTTTAAAAATTTTCAAATGAAATTGAAACACCGCTTATCTTGAAGGACTTCCGGCTCTCGGAGAGCCCTAATCTGGTCGGTCATAATGTCTAGGCTCATCCACGTTCAAGTAATCGCTTCCGAACGTTCAAGGAACGTCGAAAAGTGCACGAGGCTGTAAACGTTTTCGGCGGAAAAACTTGTTTTTATGTAATCGAAAAAATTACGTTAAAGTTGCATCTTGGGTAGGATTATTTCGAGATATTGAGTTGGGTTAAGTGTTGTTTGGAATGTGGGCATGGGAGGGCAAGTGAATTTATTTTTTAAGCGAAAAAAATATTTTTTTCTTGGTATTTGCTATAATATTTTTGTACCTACTATTATATAATAATATTTATGGAGTGCATTGACTGTAGCGTATTTTACAAAATCCTTGTTAAAATTAAATTTTTTTTGCAACTAATTCTTGTCTGCTTTATAAGTCATCTTGATCCTATTGTGCTACTTCTATAATTTTTGCAACAACAAAGAATCCTCATTCCTAAAATCTTTCTAATAGCCAAATATTAAAGCAAGTATCGTATTAGACTAATAGGCAAAATAGATTTAAATTGTTATAGGTGTACGTATATGTTAAGTCTTTCTTATGGCATCTTCTATAAGTGTAACTTGTACATCTTGAAATATGTTGGCTATGAAGTCATGTTTTGGATAGTACAGGCTTAAAAAATAATGGCGAGGTGAAACAAGTTTTTAATAGTAAAAGCATTACAAAATTAAGTATGACTTTGAGTAAAAATTTCGTATATTACCACACTTCTTTACTCTACGCGACACTAGTTTTAATATAACCTACTCTTCCTTGGTTTACTTTACCATATCTTATTTTAACTTACCCTTCCTTACCATACGTTACAATACCCTACCTTACCCTACCTTACTCTACCTTACTCTACCTTACCCTACCTTACCCTACCTTACTCTACCTTACTCTACCTTACCCTACCTTACCCTACCTTACCCTACCTTACCCTACCTTACCCTACCTTACCTTACCTTACCTTACCTTACCTTACCTTACCTTACCTTACCTTACCTTACCTTACCTTATCTTACCTTACCTTACCTTACCTTACCTTACCTTACCTTACCTTACCTTACCTTACCTTATCTTACCTTACCTTACCTTACCTTACCTTATCCTACCTTACCCTTCTCTACCTTACCCTATCTTATCCTATCTTACTTTGTTTTGTCTTACAGTACTCTTTTCAACTCCACTTTACTCTAACCGACCGTCATCGACTATAGCTTACCCTACCCTATTCTATCTTTATCCTAGCTCTACCCTCACTTTCTTTCTAGCTTAGACTTATCATAGACATAGCTTAGCTCTACCGAAGTTCTACTCTATCTCTACCTTTCTCTGTATGAAGCAATGATAACTTACTTCTTATCAACTTAACAGTAAATCTTTAACATTAATTTCAAAAACTTGATTATTAAAGAGTGCAAGCTTTAAATTACCAAAATCTTTCAATATTTACTGACTGATTAACTGATCATCTTCTCTCCCATTACCTTACTGAGTAACGCATCCAACTGATCCCGTCTTATCTGGTCTAATCGTTTAAACCAGGGCGGATAAACCGTGTTATCAGTGAATTCGAAAGTCTTTTTCGAATTGCGTGTTCTAATCCCACAATGGCAAAGAGTCAGTTGGATTAAAAAATATTTGTTCCGAAAAAAATTATTCGCCATATTATGGGTGGAGCTAATTCTCGACTTGAGCGATTGGGAGGACCAGTAGGGTTTGATAACAGTTTATGGGGAATGACAAGGTCCTAAGGGCTTTTACTGTGATTTGGGCTTGAATTTTTAAATTTTTGGGGTTTGAAATTTACAGTAGGGTAGGGTAGGGTACGGTAGGATTGAGTAGCGTAGGGTAGGGTTCTTATCACTTTTTTTGCGTTTTTCTATTTTTACTATCTTACCGTAATTTTTATTTACAAAGTAAAAACTTCAAAATCTAAGCCCAAAACTCAATTTTTTGACATTTAAAAACAAAGTTGTTACATTTTTACGTCATTTTTTTCTATCTTGATAACATTTTGTCAACTTAAAACCTGCCTACGTCGTACATTAATGATAATTTCGAAGTATTACTCAGTTTAATAGCCCAAAAGTAGCAATTAACTTATAGCACTTAAACATTCAAAGCCCACTTATTAGTAGATATTATGTTTTATTCAATTACTTTGTTATTTTTAAATGTGTTTAACTCGTGCTTCATGGCGATTAGTCCTGTTTTAACGATGTTAATATAAAGGTATATCTATATATATATGTTGTGTTAATGGGTTTTGGATTTTCGGAATTTTAAACTATTTTAATTTGAAGTCTGGGTAGTAGGGCAATTTTTTGGGAAGAGGTCAGGGGGGGGGGAGGGGTGGGGTTCAGGGTATATTTGATATGAGCGTACTAGGCGTGAACAAAGAAAATCTAAAATAAATGTGTGGCCAGGCCGGCACATTGGGCTTATGAAGCGGGTTTTTATCAACGCCTTTTTGAAAGATTTTTTGTTTTGGCTAGATCTGAAAAGGGGGCAGGCCGGGCCTAGCTGTACCGGAGCAAATCTGAAAGAGGCTAAGCCGGGTCGTCCGGGCTCTTGAGGCTATTCTCCTAACCTATTCTACTCTGCCTAAATTGGGCCTTAGCATATAGTAAGATGGTGCGTCAGCACGTTTCCACTTTTGTAAAAAAAATTCTACTGGTGGAGGGTTGAGAAAAAAGGTGATTTTTTCAGTTTCGACTTAATTTTTACTTTTTGTCAGTCATTTTGTAATAATAAAAGTGAAAAGCAGTAATAACGGTGAGTTTTTTGTAAATCAAACAGTATTTCCGGGTCAAAAGGAATTATTACTTTTTTTATTAAACAAACGCCAAAAAGGAGAAAGGTGTTTTTTTAAAAAAGGTTTAATAATTGAAAGTAACAGTCGTTTACAAAAGGTGGTCACACTTTGGGGATTTTTAGTGAAAAATTTTAGCTTTTGGATACATTTTTAAAATTTAAAAAAATTAGGTTGTGATTAAAAAAATGTCATATCATATGCAGTGTAACTCTTGTATACCAATTTCTCAAAGATTTTAAACTTTTTTGTTATACAGAGTTTAGGACTAAGGCTGAGGCTAGGGCTAGGATTAGGGCCAGGGAAAATATTTTTTTGAAGGTTTACTGCAGTATAGTATGTAATATCAAAATGACGTGTAATAATGACATTTTTGATGCTTTAACTTTTATGAATGATAAAATTTTTGAACGATTAATCTCTCCACTATTTAAAAATGGCATTAACGTGCGTGTTTCACTTTAACTCGGGTATTTAAAACCCTTATTACACATACCTATACCTTAAAACGAGTATTACTAATTTTCATTTTTTACACAAAATTATTGCTATTTTGCCAGTAAGTTTCGTAGACCTTTAATAACTAACTAATATATTACAGGTAGCCCCACACCTCCTCTCCAAAAAGCGCCCTTTCAGTTTAAGCCCAATTAAACCGCGCTTTCATCCTGTGGCGCGACTCCTACTCCCGGCACGACCCGTTCGACAGGATGGGCAGTGCTAACAGCCATCATCCTGAGCCTCCGATGGCGATGGAGCAGCCGCTGCCATACCCTGATATGAATGTTATCTTCAAGGGAATTCCTAAAATGATGCAGGTAAGGGGGTTTGAAATTTGAAATTTTTCGAACTTTTTTAAAATTAGGAACCCTAATATTAGCTTTTGCTATCTCTAGCTGTAGCCGTAGTTCTAGACTTTTGCCCTGAATTTAGCTCTGGCTATAGAGCTTGTCCTAGCCGTAACTTTAGCCTAAAAATATATTTAAAAATTTTCAATTTGAATATTTTAGGTAGCAGACGACATGCACGTCCTCACAGAAGCCATAACTGACTTGAGGAATATGACATTTGCTATGATTGCTATTAGTTTCGCTGGCATGTGCGTATTTTTAGTCCTAAAGTTTATGCAAACCAGAAGATCGACCATTCGACGAAGAAGACGGCTACAAAACGTAAGGTTTTAAAATTTCAAAAAAACTAACTTTTTAATTTTTTTTTATTTGAAGTATTAAAAATATTAAAAAATTCAATTTCGTTGCTACTTTTAAGTTGTTTGAAGCTATTTCTATCAAATTTATAGCATAAAACCTTTGAATTACATTAACTCACGTTTTCGTGGTGGGACCCAAAATTTCAGTTTTATTAAACTTTTAGATTTTAGGTATAAAAAAGCAAAAAAAATTAATTTTAACCATTTTAAAGATATTCAAAGCTATTTTTATGAAATTACTAACCATAAACCTTAGAATTGTTAAACCTCATGTTTTCGTGGTGGGACTCAAAATTGTTAACATTTTTTATAAAATTTGTTTATATTATAATAGACAAGCATATGAAATTCCTTTTACACATTTTTTACAATTTTGTCGTAGTAAAATATATTAAATTAATTGTAAAAAGTTATGTTGTTGTAAAAAGACCGTCTGGCACATTTTTTACACTGTTTTGGCATAAAAACGTGACGAAATGGAAGTTTTTAGACTAAATTTAAAATTTTTTGAAGTTTATAAAAGCTAAAACTTAAAATTTCAAAATTTTTCAAAATTAAATTTTTTTTTTAAATTTGAAAATTTTTAATAATTTTGATCATTTTAGCAAACCGACTCCGAGCGCAGTTCGCTAGCCCGCCCCTATCGTCAATACAGTCAGAAGCCGATGGAATGGAGCCATCACAAGGTGGACATGGACAAGTTATTGGAGAACAACTCTTCCCAAAGTAGTACTCATACGCCGCCTGGTGCTATTCAAAAGGCTCGTGTTGCTGACTTTACTGAGCGAATTACTCCGCCACTTAGTAATGGTACTGCGCCGCTGAAAGTAGGACTACAACATACCACGTCGTGTGGTACTAACCAGAGCATTTTGGGTGTAGTATGACATTAATATTGGTGTGAATGATAACAATATTAGAGTGTAAATGTATGAGATCTTAATGTTTGTAGGTCTTTGTTGATTGTTTTGTCAGTTGGTACTGTTGGCGTAGGTGATACTGATTTTCAAAGTTTGGGAATTAGTACCAAACGTTGAAACACCTTAGTTAAATTTAGTTAAATTACAACACCAACCTGTAAAACTACCGTACTGTCGGTAATGCCACTTAGTACCATCGAAAGCTCCTTAGTACCATTTACAGTACCAATAAGTACCAAATGACATAACTTAACCGTGTAACCCGTCTCAGTGTCATAATTGTGTTTTCTTGTCTAGAATCTCTCCAAACCAAGTGCTCTCTCACCGCGCGATCACCAAGATTGCCATTATTTTTATCGGGTATATTCGTACGATTAACAATGTACTGTTCTGTTTCTTGTTTACATGTATGATACTAAATATACAACAATAAAGTATACTAATATATTGTAACAGTTGATTGCCGTATCTTAACTAAAATTTTTTTATTTTTGCTAAAAAATATTTTCTTTGGTAGCCTTAGCTCTGGCTTTGGCCCAAGCTTTAGGTTAGAACTCTACTCCAGAGATCTCGCACAAAGCCCTAGCTTAGAGGCTTAGCCCAGAGCCCTAGCCCAGAGCTCTAGCTCAGAGCCCTAGCCTAGAGCCCAAGCCTTACTAGTTAGTTTTAGAATTCAGCTCAACTGTGTTATTTTCAAAATTTTAAAGTACGTTGCCATAAGATTGTTCCAAATCTGACAAACACTTTAAAAATGCATTTGCGTACATCATTGAGTCCAGGGATTGTCTTCAGATAATCTGTCAAAACATATTACAAACCGCAAAGACGTACCCTTGGATTGTTAGATTAGAGTCTGTAAAATTTGTTTACGCAGAATTATTAATTGTTTCCAAAATTTCGTTACAAATTGATCGTATCTTATACGAGATTATCTGCTTAGAATGGTATCACTTCTTGTTTACACTTTGAATTTAATTTTTTGAACTCAAAAGTTAAGTAGGCTTACGAATTATAATAATTAGAGATTTTTGCAAATTAAAAACCTTGCCTTGCCTTGTCTTGTCTTGCCTTGCCTTGCCTTGCCTTGCCTTGCCTTGCCTTGCCTTGCCTTGCCTTGCCTTGCCTTGCCTTGCCTTGCCTTGCCTTGCCTTGCCTTGCCTTGCCTTGCCTTGCCTTGCCTTGCCTTGCCTTGCCTTGCCTTGCCTTGCCTTGCCTTGCCTTGCCTTGCCTTGCCTTGCCTTGCCTTGCCTTGCCTTGCCTTGCCTTGCCTTGCCTTGCCTTGCCTTGCCTTGCCTTGCCTTGCCTTGCCTTGCCTTGCCTTGCCTTGCCTTGCCTTGCCTTGCCTTGCCTTGCCTTGCCTTGCCTTGCCTTGCCTTGCCTTGCCTTGCCTTGCCTTGCCTTGTCTTGCCTTGCCTTGCCTTGCTCTTTCAATCTGTGCTCTAGCGTACTATACTTTATTCTACCTTACCGTACCTTATATGACCATGCTCTATCATACTATACCTTACCGTACTTTACCTTTCTTTACTTTACTTTACCTTACCGTAACTTATCTTACCTTACCCTGTCCTAGTAAAATAATTAATAAAAAATTTTACAGTACTCACCCAACTTCCGTCAAACGTAAAATTAATCAACTGATTACGTATAAAACAAAACCTCAATCAATCAGTAAATTGTAAGATTTCAACAATTTTTACTCACAGTACTAATTAGCACATTGAGATGGTATAAGATTTCTGGAAATCTCGTCAATTCATTTTTAAAACAGCTCTTAATCTCAATAGCTGTTTACGTTTAATTAGTCGAAATTAGAGCCAAAAGTACAGTATTCAGTCTGCATACGTTGACTAGTAAATGGGATTAGTGGCTATAATTAGCCAATCATTAAATTTTGTTTTTTGAAATTTTGCAATTTTTAATCATTTAAGCGTGTTTTAATATAAAAATTTTAAATTTAAGCTTTGAGAATTTAACAAGATTTGCTTTTTTTTAAATTTTTGAAGTTTCAAAAATAACTTTTTGTAAAATACGGTTATTTTCATATTAAAATTGATATTTTAGCGCCTAGACCCAGTCAAGCTAATGATCGATGAAGTGCCTTATGTCGACTCTACTGAACTGTCGTACCACCATCATTGAACGATTACTGTCATACCATATATTCTATGTCATGACGTATTATCTTGAAAAACAAATGCTATTGTTGTATATAAACGAAAGAAATTATTTTTACTGTTTATTCAATAAAGTCTTTAGTTTTTTAAAACACTTTTAAAAAATTCTCTTGTTTTCCACTCGCTCTACTACGAGATCTTATAAAACACGGTACGGTTCTTGGAGCGGTGGCGGCGCGTGCGACCAGTCCGAAATGTACCATTTCGGCTGGACTCTCCAGTTCGGTTGGGCCCGACCGAACATGGGGAGTTCAGCTGGAAGTGGTACAGAGTAGGGCTGGGCTTTCTCCACCAGTACCTTCCCGCTTTCAGCGGGAAGCTACTGGTGGAGAAGGTGAAGAAGAAGGAAGATGGAGAGGAGATGGTGAAGAAGAAGAAAAAGAAGAGGAAAAAGAAGAAAAAGAGAAAGAAGAAAAAGAGAAAGAAGAGGAAGAAGATAAAGTATACTACTGTATCTCTTTTCTTCTTATTACGTCTTTTGTTCTACTTCAAACCTCCTGATCATTTTGGGCTAGGGCTCTGGGCTAGGGCTCTGGGCTAGGGTTCTAAGCTAGGACTTGAAATATTTTTAAATTTAAAAAAAAACTCAAAAGCGCAAGCTAAAATTTATTATGAGTTTAATTGGTAATACAAAGAATTCATATAAAAATTGTGAGCTGATTCTGACAAGAGAAGGCACTTTAATCGCAGATGGACTTTGAGATGAGACCTATATATTCTGAAAGCTGAATTCACAGGGAGTACGGATCTGAAAACCGTTTTTCTGTGCGGCTCTTAGTTTTTGAGAAAATCGCCTTTAAAGTATGGCAAGAATTTTGTCGAAACGAGCGCGCCGAGAAGAAGTGCGCAATTAATTCAAAGAAAACAAGTGGCGGCGTGGCCAAGTGGTGAGTCAATTTTCTTTCGAATGTCGATGGGGGAGTTCGATCCCGGCCTTGTGCGAAACTTTTACAGCGGTTTAAAATTATGAATTTTGTATGCAAATATGTAAAAAAATATTTTTTGAAATTTTGTTTTCTATTTTTTGTATTTTTTTCAATAAAAATCATCAAAATTCCAAAGGCTTTAAAATATTCCCTGCTGACGTCTTCCAAAATTGTCAGTTTAATAGTTGTAACAAAACCACTTTTATTTGTTGTTCGTATTGAAAAAGTAATTCTTTTTGTTCATTTTGTAGAAAGTAAGCACATTTCTTGTTAATAAATCGAGTTTTAATGAAAATTGAATTTTTTGTTATTAAATACTGTAAAAATTTTAAGTTAAAAGTATAATAATTTTAAGCCGCTGTAAAACTTTTGCACAAGGCCAGGATCGCACTCCCCCACCGACATCTGAAAGAAAACTGACTCACCACTGGGCCACGCCGCCACTTGTTTTCTTTGAATTAATTGCGCACTTCTTCTCGGCGCGCTCGTTTCGACAAAATTCTTGCCATACTTTAAAGGCGATTTTCTCAAAAACTAAAAGCCGCACAGAAAAACGGTTTTCAGATCCGTACTCCCTGTAAATTCAGCTTTCAGAATATATAGGTCTCATCTCAAAGTCCATCTGCGATTAAAGTACCTTCTCTTGTGAGTTAAACAGGTTGGGTAGTTTCCTTGTCAGATGGCAGATCTATTCATTGACAATTTTCTGTAAACAAAAAAATAGATTTGATTTTCAAAAAAATTTTTAAATTTTTTTACTATCTTCCTTCCCCCCCCCCGTTTTTTGCATATTTTTTGTTGTGAAAACAGATACCTTTGAAACTGGCAATCATTTCACTGTTTCTTACGAACCAGTCGGTTGCTTATTCATCGTTCAACGAAGCTAAATCTTCTTCAAGATTATAGCATTTGTAAGTTCTTTACCTTGTATCTCTATACATTCTATACCTTTGTACTATATCTTACTGTATTTTTATACTTTATAATTACTGTATTTTGTAATATATCTTACTGTACCTTTGTAATATAGACTTACTGTACTTTCATACTATACCTTACTGTACCTTTATACAATGACTTACCGTATTTTCATATTTGACCTCCATTTCCAGTTGATAGCTGAACGATACTTAAAATAAAAGTCTGATGAGTGTCACAAGCCGGGTCGAGAAGGTGGAGGACCCAAAACTTCTCCAACAGCCCTACTTTCACGGCCTTCTACCACGCCATGACATAATACTGTTGCTGCAACGGGCTGGCGACTACCTCGTACGTACAACGGAACCGACAGCCGGCAAACATCGAGCTTATGTCATCTCCATCATGGTGGATCCGACCAAAAAGAAGAATGGAGTAAGGGGATTTCTTTTGACTTTTTTGACATTTAAAAAAGATTTTCAAAAAGGACTAGGCTAGGGTATGGCTAAAAGGTATTGTTTTAAGAATGGGCGTATCTAGAAAAAAATTTGAGCCTTGGGGTAGATATCAAATTTTTTTTTATTATAGGTATTTATATTCTTATATTTTAAAATTAGGATAAAATTATGACGTATTTTACCTTATTTTTAACTTTTCCAACAACGAAATGTCAAAAATTTAAGACAAAATGTCAAAAATTCTAAAAAAAATAATTTTTCGCCATTTCTCGATATTGTTTTACAAGGAAAGTAGCCAACCTTCCCCGCTTAGAAACAGCACAAAATTTTTATATGAATTCTTTGTACCACTAATATTACCCATAAAAAAGTTTAGCTAGCGCTTTTGAGTTTTAAAATTTAAATATTTGAGTTTTCCGCCCATTTGACAAATTTGGCATTGTGTTTTAAGCAATTTTTTCGACTTTCAGACATGATACGTTTACAAATTTGAAAAGGTAGGTACATCAAAAGGTTTTCTACTACTATATCAAAGAAAAATGATTAAAAGTCAAAAAATGGAAAAGTTATAAAGTTGAAACACAATGCCAATTTGGTCGGAAATTCAAAACGTCATTTTTTGATCTTGATTTTCGTGAGATTGACTGGAAAAGGAGATTATGAATAATATTTTCAGATCAAACACTACCTGTTGAGTTGCAAACGCGGCCAGTTCTACATTGACAATCCAGACAAGGGCTTCCCGTCCGTGGTCGATATTATCCATCATTACGCGTCTAACAAGGAGACCATTTCAATTGTAAGTTTTATTTTAAAAGGTGTTATGATATTTAAAGAATGCCCTTTCAATTGTTTTTCAATAGCCAATGGTAATATACGGAAAAATACGTTTTTGAAAGGAAACGTTTCATCGTATAAAATATGACTGCAGCCTGCAGAGTCTTATTTTTGCTGGAAACACTGTTTGTAGAGTAAAATACGACGAGGCGGTTCAAATGTTATAAATTTTAATTTTTTGAAATTGAAAAATTAAAAAATTATATTTTTTTAAAATTTAAAAATTTTATTTTGATACCTAAAATTTCAGCAAAACCCAAACAGTTTCCTGAAGACGCCGATCCTCCGCCAAGGCTGGGAATTGCAACATGAACATATTGTAATAACCAAAAAGTTGGGCGAAGGCGCGTTCGGCGAGGTCTCGCTAGGGAAATGGTCGAATCCAAGCACCAAGGAAGAGGTACCAGTCGCCATAAAGCAGGCCAAACTCGAAGCCTTGACCAAAGATCAGATCAAGGAGATCATGACAGAAGCCCGCTTCATGCGCATGTTCGATCACCCCAACATGACTCGACTGCACGGTGTAGCCGCCCTTCAAGAGCCTCTGATGCTCGTCATGGAGTTTTGTAATCACGGTGCACTGGATTCGTATCTTCAGAAGAACACATCGCTGAGTATGAAGGAAAAGACGGTCATGGTGGTACAGGCGGCGTTTGGGCTGGAGTATATGCATGGTTTGAATCTGATTCATCGAGATGTGGCGGCTAGGAATTGTTTGTATGGGGATGATAAGGTAGGCGGAGATTTGTGATATTGAGGTAGATTTTGACGAGTTTGAAGCTTATGTTATGTTAATACTGATGATATTGGACCTTATGTTAAGTTAAGACTGATGATTTTGGATTTAAAAACCTGATTTCAGATCAAAATTGCTGATTTTGGTCTGACCCGCGAAGGCCCAATGTTTAAAATGTCCATGGACAAAAAGGTACCAATCCGCTGGCTAGCCCCAGAAACCCTAAAAGGCGGAATTTATTATTACAAGTCGGATGTCTGGTCTTATGGTAAGCTGTGCACCTAATTTGAACAAAATTTGAAACAAATTTTTTTTGAAAATTTAAAAAATTCTTATTATGTTGTTCAAATAATTCTGCGCCCTCTTTCAAAGAAAATTTTTGGACTTAGAGGGCTCAGATTTATTTGAACAACGTTGATTTGGAAGGGGGCTCAGAATGTTTTTGACAAATTTGATTTTAGAGGGGGTTCAGAATTATTTGAACAACCTAAATAGTAAAATACCATGAAATTTTACCATGAAAACATATAAAATGCCTTTGTTATTAAAACTTTTATTTCAGGAATATTGTGCTGGGAAGTGTACCACAATGGCTCCGACCCCTATCCAGGAATGACGATCGCCGAAGTTAATCGGGCCGTTCGTCAAGGCTATCGAATGGAGTTTAAGGACGCACCGTCGGACATTGTCGCCATGATCAAGAAACATTGTTGGGTGGAGTTTGAAGACAAGAGATGGAACATGAGCGACGTGGTCAGCTTTTTGCAGGTATGAACTTTGAAAATTGGTTTTAGATGGCAAATTGCAAAAAATAGTTTTTTAGGTAACAAAATTGAAAAAATATTGATTTTTAGGTAGCAAAATTCAAAGAAATTTGATGTTTAGGTAACATAATTTCTAAAAATTGGCTTTTAGGTAACAAAATTAAAAAAATTTGATTTTTAGGTAACAAAATCGAGCTTTTTTCTAATTTTAGACAACAAAATTGAAATTTTTCGAATTTTAGGAAAGCTCCCCCCACGCCCAGCCGAAGCCAGATGCCAAAGGCCAGAAAATTATCTTCAAGAACTCAAATCCGAACAAGCAGTCCTTGATGAACACCCCCACCGTCTACAATGACAACGCCACCACCGTGAGCAAGCTGCCAACGGCCGACGACGACGACAATGGCACCAAGGCAAAGGGCAGCAAGAAAAAGAAGGAAAAAGTGGATAAAAAGGCTCAATAAACTTTGACAGTGCTTGAATTTTGAAATTTTTTATGTTATACTAGATCTGTCTAGCAGCTTTATCATGCTATACTTGAACTAAACCTTAGATTATAGGCTTTAGCTGGCAAATAATTGTGTCTCATAGTCTTTGTTATGTCCAGCAGTCCTTTACCTTTGTTTAAAACCAAGATACGTTCAGTTATAACAATGATATCGTTGTTTATTGCGAGTAAAAGTGAAAGAGCCGTTCATCTACGACAAGATCGCTTACGAACACTGACCCACTTCTGGTGATAAATCACAAAACAACTGGTTTTGCAAGACTTAAAAGGGCACTTTCGTTTTTATGTCACATAAAATGACATCAAAATTTATTTTATGTACTAGAAACGTCGAAAGTGAAACAAAGTTTATATTATCATTACCATAATATAAACTAAAAAAAATCATAGCCTTTGAGGGGTGCGGTTTAAAAAATTGATAGAAAAAGGAAATTATAAAAAACTTTATGAAGTTACTAATTGAAAATGACATGAAATACCTTTAGTAATCAAAAAAGTTTAAAAAATTAACTGATTGAAGCACGGAGACACATTTTATCGTATAAAGTGGCCATGCAGCCTGCAGAAGTTAAATTTCTATATATCTCGAGGAAAAAAGTTTATAGATCAGTGTTTTTTGATAAGGTATTGTAAAGTTTTGTTCTATGGATAACCAAAATGACTTCTGCGTTAGATACGACAAATAAAAAGGTTATGATATAGAAAAGCGTGGGCATGTTTCATCGTATAATGTGACGACGCAGCCTGGAAAAGCTTAATTTCTATAGTTTTTTGATAAAGTATTGTAAGCTAACGGTAAAGTAAATGCCGTTTGAGTTAGGTACGACAAGTTAAACAGTTACGATTTAAAATGGGTGAACGTGTTTCATCGTATAATGTGACGACGCAGCCCGCAAAGCCTTAATTCTTTGAAAATTCACTGTTTGAAAGTTCTGAAAATTAAAAAAATTTAAAATACGTGTACTCTTTAAAGTTTTTATAAAAATTTTTATTAAAAAATTAATTTTAAAAATTTAAAAACCCTAAAGCCTGTATATAAATTAATTTTGGCATGTAAATTCGATTAAGAACTTGTGAAAAAGAGGCGGTGTTTCTAACGATGCAAAGAAACTTTGGTTCCGGAATTCCACGAGATCGAGAGTTCCGTTTTGATGGGCTTATAAATAGCCGGTTTAAGCGAACGGGTTTCGCTGACAGCCGGCGTTTGACACTGGGATTAGGTAAGGGTCTTTAGTACTTTACTATATCTATATAGTATTTATGTTATACTGTGCTTATTTTAAATGTTTTAACTCTAGCTTTACAGTATGACAACTTTTATTTCAAACAAATTGTTTTTATTACCTAAATTAATATATTTTTTTGAAATTTCATTACAAATAGAGCTTAAAAGTGCATTTTGAACCCAATAAAAAATAATTTTTTAATTTTTACAACATTTTCATTTCAGCCATGTCAAAACACGAGTTTTATTACCATTTTGCCTTGGCTACAACAGCTATAAGTGCCATCACGACCATCTCTCTACTAGTATCAGTACCACTTTTGTTCAGTCGTGCCAATGACCACAAGTACTTTATCGAACAAAAAGCCAACAATTTCCGGCTGGAAACCAACAAGATCTGGTCTGAATTGCACCCCAATCCAGCTGTGTCAGTCCATGATCCCAAGACCGGTGAACTAGCCAAAAATGCCATTTTCTTCTCAGCTAGGACTAAAAGAAACCCTTGGGAACGACAGATCTGCCAAGGATGTAACCCACTCAACTGTCCCAGTGGTATGCCAGGTAATCCTGGCCCACCTGGTGAGGACGGCAATCCTGGAGATGCTGGTATGCCTGGACGGTCAGGTGAAGATGGTCTGGACGTGGAATTGGCTCCAGAAGACGACTTGCCGTGTGTGATCTGCCCTGGAGGACCACCTGGCATGCGTGGACTACAAGGAGAGCGCGGTCAACCTGGCTATCCTGGTCCTGGCGGCGAATCAGGGCCAGAAGGTCGTCCTGGACCACAAGGACCACCTGGTTTGACTGGCAAAAGTGGACCAGCCGGGTTCAAAGGTCATGAGGGTCCAGAAGGACCACCTGGAGAGACGATCATTGCTGGCGTGGGAATTAAGGGACCAAAAGGACCACCCGGCCCACCAGGACCAAAAGGACCAAACGGTGGAGCAGGAAAGCCAAGCCGTGAAGTTGGAATGCCCGGTCAGCCGGGACCACAAGGACCAATGGGACCATCTGGAGAGGAAGGAAAGTCGGGAGAAGAGGGACCATTTGGACCACCTGGAGAGCCAGGACAACCAGCTAGCTACTGTGCTAGTGACTGTGGAGTGGCTCAGATCCTGGCACCTTCTATTAATCATGCTAAGATCGCGGCTGAGGACGATGTGATGGGGAGCATGAACAACATGAGGATGAGTGGGCAATACGACAGTGATGTTGTTGAGACTATTGGTCATAACAATGCTTATGGAGGTGCTGGCTATTATTCTGGAGGTTATGGAAAAAAATAAACTTGATTTTTGTTGATTTTGGGGAATGTTTTGAGTGAAAAAGTTACAGTAATGACTCAAAGTTTGAATTTTTTGGCTAAACTGAGGTAATGCTATATTATAGTAGGTAGTGTAAAGCAAGGTTAGATATGAAATAAAGTTAATTTTTACAAATTTGAAAATAAAATAGTTTTAAGATTCCGAAAAAAAATATTTTTTTTATTTTCGGAATTTTGTTGATCGAACAGCCTGTGGACTTGATGAAGAAGGCGGCGGTGAGAGCGGCGCTGGTATCGGCTAATACTGATTTGGATCCGGGTTTGGCGCCTGATGTGGTCGATATTTGTAAAAAGGAAGAGGCTAGGATAAAGAAAAATCCGAATATGAAGCCGAAGAAGAGTGCTCTTAAAGCTGAGTGAGTTTGAGATTTTTTTAAATTTGGCGAAGTGTCACATATTGATTTTTGCACGAAATGTCAAAAAATTAAATATTGATTTTTATAAAACTTGCAAATCAAAAAAATCTTCAATTTTTTAGTTAACGAAATGTTGCATTTTTAATTTTATTAATAACGAAATGTCACAAACAGATTTTTGACAAAATGTCAAAAAATTAAATATTGATTTTTTCAAAAAATTTACAAATTTAAAAAAATTAAATTTATTGTTAGTTAAATTAACGAAATGCCACATTGGAAATTAAAAATTTATTTTTAAGTTAACGAAATGTCACAAGTTGAGTTTTGACGAAATGTCAAAAACTCAACTATTGATTTTTGCAAGTTAACAAACTTTTGTTTACACATTTATTTATTTATTTTGCAACGTTTAATAATATGAAAACATAATGACACATTAAAATTTGATGGTTTAAAACTAAATTTTAAAATTTTTACAGTTCCAAACCCACAAAGTCCAATCGAATCAAAATTGACGAAGAAGCTCAAGACATTCCAATCATTGCTGACAGAAACCCAGACCTTCTAATTCATGTACCAAATGCACCACCCGTGAATAACTACCAGTCATTGGCGGCCTTGGCTAAAGAAACCCAGAAATAACGGTCGATTTGGCCTTTATGGGTATTGTACTGAATTCACGGTGTTTTAGTTAGAGATAAACTAGTAAACTTGGTGTTGGCTTATTTGTGTTTTAGGTATCTTTGTGAAATGTAATTGAAAAAATGCTTTTCTGTAAGTATTGGTTTATGTATACTTGAGGCTAGTTGTGCTGGAACGCACTGAACTTATCTGCTGATATTACACTGCCAATTTAGTCATCATACTTATAATACAAGGAAGGTCCTCGACCTGCCTCGCTCTGATTGACTTCAAACTTTTTATATATAATAGAAAGATCAAGTCAATATAAGACCTCCAGCACAATATTAAATTGCGTTTTCCAGGAAATCTCAAGAAAATAAAAAATAAAAAATTGCGTTTTGAATTTCCTGCCAATTGGCATTGTGTTTCAAGCTTATAACTTTGTCATTTTTTGTTTCAGTTTATTTCATCTTCACCACCAACTTTATCCGGATTAATGTTAACTCGCAAAAACATTGTGTACGTAACCAAGTGTAATATCAATTTGTCCCCATCATTCTTCATTCCACTCATTTCTTATGCCAGATCACAGACCTCGGACAGCTTTTTTCTCTCTTTCGGCTTTATATTAAATGTCGTTTTGGCCAATTTTGTGGCTAATATTGTTCAACTCGAACCGAGGTTGGGGGTCGAAGGATGGTGAAGATGGCTTCAAAAGTAGGTAAGGAGTGGTGTGGGTGATTTTGAATGGTATTGCAGTAAATTTTAATTGATTTAAGCTTAAGTTTTAAAATTTTAAAACTTTGTAGTTTAAAAAACTTATTTTTTGTTTCAAAAACGACTAAAATTTCAGAAAAACAGAAGTTTGAGAGCTTAAAGCCGTTTTTTTCGATTTTCGAAGCGAATTCCTAAATTTAAGTGCGTTTCTTAATAAAATAAGATAGCCAAAATCATGTAAAATGTAATTTTAAGTATTAAACAACAAAAATGTTTTAGGTTCAATGAGATCCTTAGCTTATTTTGGCTTATTTGTGTCAATTTTCAGGCATTTTTTGAGTTATTCAGAAGTTTAAAGCTAATTTTTGAAAATTTAACTAGGTTTTCGTTAACGTAAAATAGTCAATTGTATGTAAAATGTAATAATAGGTATCAAACAACAAGAGTTCTTTAGCTTCGAGTAGATTTTTAGCTTATTTCGGCTCATTTTGACTAATTTTCCGCCATTTTTTTGGTCCTAAACCAATCTGAAACTAATTTTTAAAAATTTTAAAAATCCACATTTTTCAAATCTACTTTTCAATCATAACCAAGTCCATAATCTTTCAATAAAACAATATTTTTCCCTTCTATAACAACTACTTTTCCAGCCCCACCCTGCCAAACATTATATTATTCATCACGGACGATCAGGACTCTCTTCTCGGATCGATGGAATTTATGCCAAGAACCTTGAAATTTCTAAGAAAACGTGGAGCTGAGTTTGAAAATGCCTTCGTTTCGACTCCAATGTGTTGTCCTAGTAGGACAACAATTTTGACTGGGCTTTATGCACATAATCATAATGTCATGACTAATAATCTGAACTGCGCTGGATTGGAGTGGAGGTAGGAAATTTGGGTACAACCATTTAAAGAGAATAGAGCTTTTACGGCAATTTAAAAAAAATGTTTTAAAAATAATGTTTTGATGTTCGTAAAGTCGAATGTTTTCGTTTTCAAAAATCGTTTTGAGTCTCACCACGAAAACATGATTTTTTTCAGAATTTGTCTTTAACACGTAAAATATTACTAATGTGATAATGCTTTTTAACATGGCATACATAGTTAAGCTAAAAATCATAATTTTTTCTTTTATAAAACAGGTTTTAGGTCTCACAACGAAAACCTGATTTTTTAGAAATTAGTTTTAAAAAGGCAAAATGCTACTAATTTCACATACCTTGATTCTATGAGGTATCTAACTATCCTATTAACCACCTTTTCAGATCAAAATTCGAAAAATCCACCTTTGGAGTTCACCTTCGTAACGCTGGTTACCAAACCGCTTACTTTGGTAAATACCTAAACGAATACGATGGGTCGTATGTTCCACCAAGTTGGGAAGAGTGGGTAGGGTTGATAAGAAACAGTCGGTTCTACAATTACACTGTCAATCGAAACGGAGTAAAAGAGAAACATGGATTCGACTACTACGATGATTACTTTACTGATCTCATTACAAATGGCACTTTGGAATTGTTGAAAAAGAGGGAAGTAAAAAGGGAAAATCGACCATTTTTGATTGTTATCTCTTATCCTGCACCACATGGACCAGAAGACCCGGCTCCACAGTTTTCAGGGATGTTTGAGGATATTGATACTCATAGGTAGGGTAAATTTTTAAAATTTTGAAATTTTAAAATTTAAATTTTTTAAAATTAAAAAATTTTTTTTTGTAAAATACGTTTTTTACCCACTGAATTTCAGAACAGCATCATGGAACTACGCTCCAAACCCAGACAAACAGTGGATTCTGCAAAGGACTGGCAAGATGGAACCGACTCATGTCTTCTTTACTGATCTTCTACATCGTCGACGTCTACAAACGCTGCAGAGTGTTGATGACAGTGTTCATCAGGTACGGTAAATTAATTCTTTGTGTTATAGAAAAGTAAAATACGGTCTTGAAATTAAATAGTTTGTTTTAACGATAAGGCTTTCACGTTTGATTCTGTTTTAGATGCAAGTAAAATCTTTCGTTGCGGGACCTGAACAGCGTCTATAGGACATTGATTTAAGCCAGGGTTTTGGGCATCCTTTTGCGGGCTGGGCTCGGCCCTTTTTTATTTTTACCGTTTGGTTCAGGCTTAGTGGTCTCGGGCCTAGTTGGCTTCTTTTCAAGTCTAATTGGCGCTGACCTAGTGGGCTCTTTTTCAGGCTTAATTACTATACTGAAGGCATCGAGTTTTGACTCCCCCCCCCCTTTTCATCTGACTATATGCCCATGTCTTTGATAAAAGCAAAACATATGATAATTACAATCTTTTTATAGCTTATTTTAGATAATGAACTACCTCCGATCAACAAATCAGCTTCAGAATACTTACACTATGTACACAAGTGATCATGGTTATCATTTAGGCCAATTTGGTTTGATCAAAGGCAAAAGTATGCCATATGAATTTGACATAAAAGTGCCGTTCTTCATCAGAGGACCTAATATTCACAAGGGCATTATGTAAGTATTTATATTACAAATTATTGAACCTACTGACTTTATACCGTAATATTTTTGTTAAAATATTTTTATAGTATTAAAGCTTTATATCACGTATTTTACAAAAAAAATAAAAATTTTTCAGCAAAAAAGAACCAGTTCTGAACATTGACATAGCTCCGACGATATTACACATGGCCAATGTTACAGTACCTTCAGATATGAATGGAGAATCAATTCTGAAAACTTTTGATAATGAGTTTAAATGGCGGGAAACCGTGCTTATTGAAAGGGGGTAAGAGCAGTTTTAATGAGCATATAAACTTTTTTCTTCAGGATAAAGTATATCTGGCTTTCAAGCCGGGCTGGGCTGAGTCTTGAGTCCGCTATGTTTAGATTTTTTGTAGCCCGGCTTGGCTTGGAAGCCAGGTCTAGCGGAGGACTTTGGCTAGTATAACTTTTTAAACTTTTAGGAAAATGCCAAGACTAAAGAAGGTTGGAGAACGATTGAAAAAGCAAAAGGAACGTTTCAACAAATATTTACTTTTGTCGCGACAATGCTCTAAAGCTAAATATTCTGCACCGTGCAAACCTAAACAGGTAAGTTTATATATAAATAATAGTAATTATGAAGTACGTGCAGACTATTGTAAGATTAAGGTACACACACAGAAGAGTAAAGTAGGTAGGTAGGTAAAGGACAGGGCAAGGTAGTACAGGGTAGGGTAGAGTAGGGTAAGGTATTGTAGGGTGGGGTAGGATAGGATAGTGTAGGTAAGGTAAGACAAGATATTGTAAGGTAGGGTTGTTACAAGCTACTTAACATTTTTTATGTAACTCTATATTAATATGTATATTCCTTTAGGAATGGGTATGCCTTCGAAATTCCGTAAACCGTTGGCGTATTGTCAAATGTCGGCAAAGTAAACAGAACAAGCAGTGTAAATGTCGGGAAAAGCGTGACATATCATCTTTTCAATTAACAAATATTCTTCCTGAAGACATAAGCAAGCATTCAGAATCCCAGCTACACAAATGGGAAGACCAATTCTTGGCAGAAGCGTTTGAAGAACTTTTGGCGGAATCTGGAGAATGGTACCAAGGGATTCTGGAGGTACCAGATAAAGATGAAGTTAGTAATATAGAATTAAAGACATCAGATAGGTCTAGTCAACGTAAACGACGACAACTTAATGAGATCAAACTAGAAATCATTGATGGAGATACCAACGATCATGTCAATCATAATGATGACTTTGATGCCAATGGTAATATACAAAAATTAAACGTTGGTATAGATAATGGTGAAAATATTGAAAACGGTTACATGGGTAAGATTAATCATCAAGTAGGGAATAATGCTCGTACTTTACCAAAAGATGAAGACGAAATAGACAGATTGTGTGTATTCAAAGCTAGGAAATGGTGTGATTTGCCTAGAAATATTACTCGCAAACTATGGAATAAACGGAAGAACCGTGTGGACATGAAAATACAGAAACTGAAGGATCGTATCTTGGCTGTTAAGGTATGTACTTTAATTAATATAAATATAAATATTACTTTAGGACCTTCGAAAAGCTTTACGACAGAACAAACCTTCTCTCGGCGAAGCATACGATGGGTTGGTAGAAATGGATACTGTAGAAAAATGTGATTGTAATCAAGGATCCAAACACCCTTTACGGTAAACAAATTTTATGTAAAATATGAGTGATACTCAAATTGATTTGTTATATTATATATAATTTTATAGTTAAAATGTAAATTCAACTAGCCAATAAAATGACTATATAAAGATCGTCGATTCAACATATTTTACAAAACCTTAACTTCAGAACTTCCTTTTTGTCTTCAAACAGAACATCAAAAAATTGCACCGTGCTTCAGATGAATTGCTTCGAACACTCGGATTCACATTGGAAGACGGAGCCCAAATGGCCGTCCGAGTTGGGATCGTTTTGTTTTTGCCAGAATTCGAATAACAATACTTATTGGTGTCTACGAACCGTTAACTCGACTCACAACTTTTTGTATTGCGAGTTTGTCACTGGGTTCTTGAGCTTTTACGATCTGAACGTGGATCCTAATCAAGTGAGTTATTGGTGATTAAACGCTGAGTTTTCAAGGGTTCCGGAGACGGCTTTGGCTCTAGAATATTCTTTCCGGGTAACTCTCGTTCCGTGATAGCTCCGGCTTTGAGGTAGCTCCGGCCCAGGGTATCTTAGGGTCTGTTGTAGGTGCGGGTTTAAGGTAGCTTTGACTGCGGAATAGCTCCTGCTCAGAAGTACCTCTGGCTCTGGGGTAGTTTCCAGGAAAGTAGCTCTTGCGATACGTTAGCTCTGGTTCTGGACGGCTTGGGCTTTGGGATAACTTTGGTTCTCTGCGGTAACTTCGGTTCCAGGGTAGCGTCGGCTCTGTTGGAGGTCTTGCTTTGGATAGCCAAGAAAAAAGGTTCGAGTTAGTTCTAGTTCAAGGATAATTTTGGTCTCAAGGTAGTTCTTGCTCCGGGATAGCTCCGTCTTTAGGATCTAGAGCATCTAGGGCTCCAAAGAATGATTGTTACAAATGACATATTTTAGCTAACAAACAACATTTTTGAAGTGGAACCAGATCGATTGGCTCAACTCAACGATCAACTTATGAACTTAAAATCATGTACGAATAACAAAGACTGTGAGCACTACAGCAGCTTAAACTGGTATAACAGAATAACCGGGACAATGAACGATACTCTTATTGATAACGATAGAATTACTTGACAATTCTTGTGTTCTTGACTATAAATTAATAAATTACTTAGCTCTCCTGCTTTTATATATAATATATTTATAATTTGTTTACCCCTGTTTAGTTAAAAGACAGTTACAGTAAAAGACAGTGTTTAATATAAGTTTCAAACCATAATATACAAAACAAACTTCAACTTTTATATTTTACGTGACAAAACAATTGATGCAAGCTGAAAGGTAAATCTAAATGAAACCACACCAATGTGTAATCAATTTAAGTACGGTTTACTTTTTTAGTATAATCTTAATTTGCAAACATTTTTGCTTGTTAATTGTGAGCTAAAACAATGTATCATAACAATGAAATTAGTAAAATACGTATTTGATAAATTCCTCTGACTAATTATTGATTAAATTTACAAACCAGTAACAGTTTCATTCTCAATTACTCAACCATTACTTTGTAATTGCGGTTTAACTGTCACTTATCCACTTGTTTCATGTTCTTCTTTTTTACAGCTGTGGTGAGAGAAAAGTAACCGTCGCGCATCGATGCATTGAGAGCTTTGCTAAAAAATCGTCACAACTTAAAACGCCACTTCAAAAGGCCCGGAGGCAGGAAAGATGTTTTTTTAGCTATTTGGGACAAAACCTAGGTCTTTTTTATTGTTTAGGGTAAGGTAGGGTAGGGTAGAGTAGGGTAGGGTAGGGTAGGGTAGGGTAGGGTAGGGTAGGGTAGGGTAGGGTAGGGTAGGGTAGGGTAGGGTAGGGTAGGGTAGGGTAGGGTAGGGTATATTTTGCTATTTTTGTTATAGCTTTTTTCCTTCCCCCCTCCCCTCTCCTATAAAAGCCGCTAATCTGCTAGATATATGACTGATCAAGTAAAGGCCCCAGCCATTTTTCGCTGAAACCCGTCGCTCTATTCAAGGTCTGTTTGGATAAACATTCGAGACCGTTCAAGTTTTTTTTTCGAGTTTGAAAAATATTATTTTTTCGTTTTTTAAAAGTGCTTGAATCTGCGGAAACAATATCAGCCACGTATCTTGTATTTGTTTTTTGTGCGACTGTAGTAACGTTGTTTTGTAAGAATAGAGTTCAGGAATATTGTCGTGGTTTCATAGGTTTTGGGAGAAAAAATGAAACTTTTTGTTACATTATAAGAAGGTTTATGAAAGAAGGGCTAGTTTATAGGGAGGGGGGTAAATCTTGAGGAGGGGGGGGGGAGTGGTGGTAAATTATGAAAGGTAGAGGTAAGGGTCAAAAAGAACAAAAAGGGCATAACATCAACTACAAATTCCACAACAAAGCAACTTTAAAAGCTACTTTCATGCCCTTAAACTTGTTATTGTCTGCAAATTTTTACATAATCCTCAAGCCAAAAACAGGGGTCAATAACAATATTATAATCTGTTAAGCCAGAGTCATTTTTAGAAATTTTACATTTAAAATATCGTTATCTGTAGACAGTGCCGGGTGGGGACTTTTGTTCTGGGGGCGGAGGTCGAAAAAATCGGCACAGGCTACCTGTGCCGATTTTTATTCTTTTACTCTTACATAGCATTAAAATTTTTTTAAAATCGTAATATTAGCAAAAAGCTAGCCAATAGCAGAATCAAAAGTTTAGCCTGACCTTCGTGCGGCACTTGTGGAGTTATCTTTAGCATCCTCCGTGGAATTTATTTAACGCAATTTCCTGACCCAAACCATTTTTCTTTTTTGCGAAGGCTCGAAAAAAGGTATTGCTCTTTTCTGACGCCTTCGGAAGTGGCCTTAGGGCCGGCTCGAAAATTGAAAGTTAAATTTGAATTTAGGGGTGTTTTTTTAAATTTTTTGAAATTTGTATTGTCATAGTAGCATAGTGATTACTGTATATTGTTTTTTGGTATTATTTTTACTTGTTTTGTAAAAACGCCTAAAGGCTTAAAAATTAAACATTTTTTGTTAATTTGAATTTTTTAATACTATACTACGTCTCATAGTATACTGCATAGGACCAAAATGTTGTTCTGAATACCAAATTTGTTTTTTCAAACTAAAGTTCTTTTAAAATTTATAGTTACACGAATTGTCGTATGTTGTTGTTATAGCAACGAATGTAAGTTGAGGCGCGTTACGAAATCTCGGCTTTTAAAATGCCCTTTTATAATAAATACCTGTGTTCTTGCTTGTACGACTGTCGATGCTCTATGTTGTTAATATTAAAAGGAAGTTTGTTTTATAAAGTTTTTATAAAGAGCTTGGTGTGAAGAAGATGAGGGAGAAGAATAGAGAATAGGAAGGGTACGACAGGGTGTAATAGGGTAGGGTAAAATAGAAAATTTTTTAAAATTTTTTTTATCAAATGCAAATGTCTTGGCACTAAACTTGAAAGGGCGTTTACTAGTAGACCTGGCAATAAGAAACTAGGCCGGGTCGATTCTTTAGCCTGACTTATTTCAAACTTTCCTTCATTTTGCCTGGTCGATAACCGTCTATTTTTTAAATAAGGGTTGATAAGCCAAGGGCAGAGTCAAAACAAAGAAAATTTGAAAGGGGTTTGGCCAGCATATTTGGGTCCAAGGGCCGGGCCTAAACCAACGCTTCAAGGGCTCAACTCAGGTCCCCCAACGAAAGATTTGAATTGAAAAAAGTGTAAAACAAATCTGGTGCTAAAGCTGTTTAATTGAGAATAATTTTTGAATTGTGTTTCAAAATTTTAATTTTAAATTTTGAAAAATAATTTAAAATTTAAAAACTCATTATAACCGTTTAAAAATTAGAATTCTCGCGCATCCTCCTCCCTCTCCCCCTTCAGAACATGCACTTGAGTGTTGTTGTTCAAGATGTTTTTTTTTGTTTTTATTTGTGCGCAGAGTCAATTTCAATTCGGATTGATTTTGCGCCTCAAGCTTCAAACCGCAGCGAGTCCAGTCTTCTTTTTTTTTCGACAAGGGGGGGGGGATAAAAAGAGAAGCGATGGTTCAACGAGAATTCGGGAATCTAAATTTGTTTAATTTGCTGTTATTTTTTGCTAGATTTAACGTGTTTCCGATGGCTCTATGTGGTTTGATATCATATTTTTGAAATTTTTGCAATTTGCAGTGGTTTTGTAGTAGTGTTTTATATTATACACAGGGACGTCGTTTGAGGGAGGGGGGTAAGGGGGGGGGGGCCCCCCTCCCCCAGAGCCGATCCGCAAAAAATTCCACAGGTAGGTGTACGCAAAAAAACGAAAAAAAAATTTTTTTTGGAAAATCGGTCCACAGGTTCAAAGGTACCTGTGGACGAAAAAATCTTTTTGAGCTCCCCCTCTACCAGAGAAAATCCGTAGCGACGTTCTTGATTATACATATAATATATACTGTCAAACATCTTTAGTATAACACGTGTCTAAAAAAACTGACTATTTGCTTCAAGGGACTAGATCAAAGTGTGATTATAACCAGAATGTTACAGTATCTAAGTGATTTTTTATAGAAGTTCTATTACAAAAAGCAATCAAAAAGCTGTTGCAGTAATCTCTCTATATAAGCAATTCGGAGGGACCGACATTTTGTGTTTACTATAAGGGGTGTTGTCTTTACAGAGTGAACTTTTAGTGCAAATTGACCTAGGGTTGGACATTTACCAGGAAATTGATTTTTCGGTAAAAATTTTACCGGTTTTTAGCGGTAAATGTCCAACCCTAAAGACCACTGTATTATTAAGAAAGTGTCATACTATGGAAGGCCATACTATAGAGATTTTATTGTATGGAGATTGTGCTATTATAATGCTACTGAAACTTCTATTGTTATTGGCGTATTTTACAATAATTTTAGATTTTTTTAAATAAAAATTATTGTTTTTGCACTGTTAAATCGTAAAAAAATTGTATTTGTAACTCATTTTTAACATAAATTTTTTTAAAAAAAAACCGAAACTAAAAAAAATTTGAAAAATTAAAAAAAAACATTTTTAAGCCCTGTAACAATTTATAATTATATTTGTTGCAGTATTGTTGCGTTTTCAAAAGTTTTGTTGAAATTTAGTCATAACACAATTAAAAAGAAATAAAAAAAAGAAACAAAATGAGTCACAGAAGCATGGCGAATAAAGACCCGTTACATGTATCTTTATTAGTTCTTGATTTTAAAAAAATATTTTGAGTTTTGACTTTTTAAATTTTCGAAGCTTATTTTAAAGGACTCTTGTATAACGAACTCTTCTGCAGTATTCCCTCTATATAATCAATTCGATGGAATATTACAGCATCCAATTAGTCGATTTTTTTAGATTGTCTTGGAACGGGGGGGGAGGGAGGGGGGGGGGGGGGAGAGAGAAATATATGCATCCCCATCTGCCACTTCTTTAGCTATGTACTAAATATAACTTCTGTATAATGAACTGCTCGAGGATTTTAAATTTTATACAGTACTCTCTCTATATAAGCAACTCGAAAGAACCGACATTTTGTGTTTACTATAAGAGGTGCTGCCTTTACAGAGAGACTTTTAAATGCAAATTGGCTTGGTGATGCCAAATTTCTTGTTTACTATAAGGAGAGTTGCTTATACAGATGATTCGCTATATAGGGAGACCACTGTACAAGATTTTCCTTATGCCGAAGATCGTTATACAAGAGTTGTACTGTATAAAGCGAACCACGTTGTTTATTCCATGAATTTCCGTTAGATTACAGCGACAGTAACAGTTTGGCGGACGTTAAAATCTGTATTTTTTAAAAGTGCGTTTCCGTTATTTTTACTTTTTTTACTTTTCAAAAACATCTTGAAGCAATGGTATAATCAATTTTGTTTACCATATGTGTTTCAAACGTCTTCAGTTCAAGTGGCACACTGTTATATATATATATATATGTATGTATGGTTTACTTTGTCAATATAGACTTTTCTGATTTTTAAAGGTTTGGTCATTGTTTTTTGTATGTATTACAAGGAGGGGGGGGGGTAAATTCGACTAAACTTTCTAGCTAAAAAAGGTAAAAGTTTAGCTAAATTTTTGGGATTTTTGACTGGGTTAAACCTGGGAATTGGCCTTACGTTGTCTGG